GCCAAAAAAATCGTACACGGTCCGACCAAAGCTCATTATTCTTCAAAACGCATGCCGCATCCAGTAAAAAATATTGCAAAGTTCAAAAAAATTATCCACGAAGTTTTTTTTTTGACGCCTCAAATTTTTTTAGAAAAATAATCCTGACCTTTGACCTATCTGCGACATTAAAAATCGGCGACGAGGAAATTGTCGGCAGATAGTTTTGACATTTTTGTACGGAGTTTCAAAGTTGAAATATTACGGCATCATGTCGAGATAAAAAATATGTCATCGTAGCTATACTTTTGTTACATACTGTAAGTTGGCGAAACGAGTGGCAAAGCGCTCATGAGGCGTGTGCGACAAAGTCTTCTTTCCTCCGGCATGGAAGATGTATTTGGACCATTGAAGGACTAAAAAACCTTGGTATACTCATCATTAGTATAACACAAAAGTTTCATTACATTTGATTCACGCATTCATTTTTACTGGTCTATAAGGTTCTGACACTTACAATATGCGGGCGCGTCTTACATCCCTCATCTTCGCTCAATAAAAAAATGTTGGCTATGTTGAAGAAATACTCCCAGCTTTGGGAAACAGTCGATAATTCAAGAAAATTTTGGTTTCGGTGGCAGACAATTAGCAATGAAGTTTCAAAGTCTTCAGAAAAAGCATTAATGGCGGACGTGATGAAAAATATCAAATATGAAATGGACAATGTACGTATATAAGTCTTTTTTGTACGCGTATGTAGGTAGTCAGATATATTTGTAACATTCTACACAAATTTGAGATTTTTGGAATGGTTTCTTGACTAGAGTCCTATAGGAACAGAGCCTAAGTGAGTAGCTGTGGGATAGGTACTTTCCCACAATACTACTAATAAATACTACTAATAAATAAATAAATACTAATTTAATAAATAAATACTACTAATAAATGTACTAATAAATAGGTACTTTCCGCAGGGCCGGGCCATCGAGCTTACTTAAAAATTTGCATACAAAAATTATAATTTCTTTTACATAATAGCTTGGCCACATCTAGTTTTTGCGAATCCCTATTAGGTTACAAGATTCGCGAACAACGAAGTTGAAACAGCCCACTTCACTTCAATTTTGTAATTTGTCTTGTTTATTTATTGTTCATGACGCTTGCTAAAGTACATGTACAGTACCGGTACATGAATCGGAATCAGAGCTCCACGTCGGTGAAATGTCCGCCGCAGCCGATATTTTTACCCTTAATTCTCAGTCAATCATTATAACAAATATATTTATTTAACTTTGCGATATGAAATATCAAGCCGTTACTCAAATATTGAACGGATCATTTTAATTTGTTCAATGACCACAATAAGCAGCCCTATATTTTTTAACTGGTGACAATGGGAGAATTTTGTTGCGTGACAGAATTTTAAAAACATTTCTCCACCAAAACCATTCGGATTTTCGAATGTTGGCGCAACTTCAAAAATTAAGAAGTTGTATTTTTCAAGCCAAATTGAAATTTCCAGGCTAAATTTTTCAGATGTGCACTTTCAGAAGGGTTTTTTGTTTTTACATGTTTCTGGGTTTAGAAAAATCCCAAGACTTAGGATTAGCCTAATTTACAATTTCCAAACAAAGTGCAACATAGGGCTCTTGCCATGGGAAGTTGATCACTAGCAATTTGGGATACAAATAGCAAATAGTCAAAAAACGATTCCAGAAATCTCAAATTTGTGTGGAATATTACAAATGCATCTGACTACCCAGATCCTAGAAATCTCTACAACTTAAAACCATCGCATAATTAAATTATGAATTAGTGCAAACTATGTCTGGACACCTTTTGTACATTTCAACAGAGCAGGGCGTGTCCGTGCAAAAATTAAGACTTGCAGAAAAAGTATGGCGAATCCAAAAATGTCGCCCTAAAATACGCAGCATGAGTAAAAACCATCATAATGAGCCATTGAAAGTTAGAAAAGATTGAATTTATTTTTTGAAAGTGTCGCTCCATGTTCGTGCCTGATGCTGCCAAGAAGTAAATGATTAATACAAACTACGTGTATATATCATATTAAGGCCAATAGATTGAGGGTCAAAACGTATGTAAAAAAAATGCACCAAATTATACCTAAGGTCAAGAAAAAATGGTAAACGCAAGACTTCCCAAGCTTCACAGAAAAATTTCACCAACAAAGTTGGACATTTGCCACGATTCCTACGTCGTTAATAACGCGACAGAAATTCAGGGAAGTAATTTTTTCATGGCAAATATATAAACGAGTGACACCCGACGAGAAATTAAAATGTTGTTAAAAATTTCTCAAGAAAGTCTCGATTGTGCTGGCGTTGGGCCAAATTGGGCATGTTTATCACCCTTAAGTTCGCAAGGACTGTGTGGGCGCACATGTTTATTTTTAGAAATGTATGATAGACCGTCTAATTCTTTTCATACACACGTACCATAAAATATAAAATGTAATTTTTTGGATCGATCTTGGACTAATCCAAAATGCAATAACTATCATGGAAGAAATCGAAAAATAATCAGTTTGATGTTTAAAAATGATCTCACAATTAACTCCCGTAGAAATTTTTCATAGCGTGTGAAATTTAAGAACCAGGTTGACACCTTGCGAAATTTTTTCACAGCGTCTCAAATTTAATAACGAGGTTGACACTGAGAAATTTTTCACAGCATCTCAAATGTAGATACCAGGTTTACCCCCTGATAAATTTTTCACAGCGTCTCAAATTTGAGATTCTGCTAGACACCCTGCGACATTTATCACAGCGTCTCAAATTTAAGATCCACGTAGACACCCTGAAAAATTTTTCACAGCGTCTAAACTTTATGAACCAGATTGACACCGTGCGACATTTTTCACAGCGTCTCAAATTTGAGATTCTGCCTGACACCCGGAGAAATTTTTCACAGCGTCTAAAATTTAAAAACCAGATTGACACCCTGAGAAATTTTTCACAGCGTCTAAAATTTGTGACTCTGCTTGGCAAACCTTGAGGAAATTTTCACAGCGTATAAAATTTAAGACTCTGCTAGACACCCTGCGACATTTTACACTGCGTCTCAAATTTAAGAACCAGATTTACACCCTGAGAAATTTTTCACACTGTCTCAAATTTGAGATTCTGCTAGACACCCTGGGAAATTTTTCACAGCATCTAAAATTTAAGAACCACGTTGACACCCTGCGACATTTTTCACAACGTATCAAATTTAAGACTCTGCTAGACACCCTGGGAAATTTTTCACAGCATCTAAAATTTAAGAACCACGTTGACACCCTGCGACATTTTTCACAACGTATCAAATTTAAGACTCTGCTAGACACCCTGCGAAATTTTTCACAGCGTCCCAAATTTGAGATTCTGCTTGACACCCTGAGACGCTGCTTCGCAGCGTCTCAGGGTCTTTTTCGTCTTGCAGGGTGTCTGACCCCGCGGCTTCGCCTCAGGGTCCCCGGCGTATTAGGAGTATACCCGTGTCGAGGTATGATCACCCGAGCGGAAGATAAGCTTGCAGATCTGTCCCGCATGCTGAATCAAGTGAGCGACCAATTCGTCAAACTAAGGTTTGACTGCGTCAACGATACCGAACCGATAACCTTGGACAAGACGAAGAATTTCGAAAAAATTCAATACCACCTCCCCACCAGGAAGCATACCTGTTCACATTCGTTCACTAAAGTGATTTTGAATATTGAATACGTACGAATTATTCAAAAATTTTGAATTTTGAATGAATAAATATACCACATTCATTTATTGAATGAATATTGAATGAATAAATATGTCCCGGACATTTATTTAATGAATAATGAATGAATGAATAAAATTTTGAATGAATGAATTGAATAAGGGATGGGTGAATGTAATAAATGAATTGTGAATAAATTTGGCTCTCATTCACCTCACGTTGAAGTGAATGAGTCTGTGGTCTGTGATGTGTCATCATTCGTGGTTGAAATTCTCATTCCTTATGTGCATCATCATTGCGTGCCGGGAACTTCGGTCGGAGCATGGTGGGAGCCAGTTCAATATTCCAACCCATTTTAGATTATTACCCGTGTGCCCAGATTAAAAAATAAATAAAAATCGTTCGAATACTTTATACCGAGGGATTAAACTTTATAAGTTAACAATTGCAACCTAGAGAAGTTATTTATGACATCAAAAGTCAACCCTGGCGATGGCGAAGCTGTCCACAAGGATAAAGAAATAGTTGATATTGAGCATGATTCTGAGGGAAGTTCCAAAAAGCCTAAACTCGTAAAACAACCAGGTTTTGAAAATTTGTCGAAGTTCCGTTTCTTCTTTGAGAAGAAGTTCAGCTACCTTGGACATTCAATTGAGTCCCAAAAGTTCTTTGCAACTTGTAAAAAGTGCACCGAAGCTGGTAAAAAAAGTCGTGTCTACTCGTTTGATGAGAGCAACTTTAAAGCAAACGGAAATCGTCATTATAGAGTATGGATAACTTTATATACCTACGTGAAATTTATTAAGTGGTAATTAAATTCGTTAATTTTTATCGAATATTTTTGCAGAACTCGCATAAAGATGTGGCTTTGGAAATTGAAATCCCACAAGAAAATCATAAGGTGAACGAGTTTTTTCACTCAAATCAAAACAAATATAATAAAAATGACCCTATCCAATCAAAATTCAACTCGAATCTGCAAGATTTGGTCTCCGTTGATGGGCTCCCTTTCAGTTTTGTTAATGGGATAGGATTCAGGAGCTTAGTATCTGACCTTAATCCACGAGTTATAGTTCCTGACCGAGTGACCTTGGCAAGAAAATTAGCAAACACGGTCAACAAGATTGTATGTAATTTTGACTTACTCTAATACGCATAAAATTATAATAAAACCTTTATGCATGCAATTTTCCCGCTTGTGTGAATTCCAGATAAAACCTAAAATTAAAGATCCACTCAACCACGTTCAGGATTACAATGTTCACATATCATCTGACATATGGACAAGTAGACAGGGTGACGGAATTATGGGACTAAAATACCATTATATTCAAAAGGATACGCAGAACCGAACATGGAAATTGGTGTCAAACGTCCTTTCAGCCGTGCAATTTAATGAACGCCACACCGGAGAAAATATAAAACAAAAATTCCAGCAATCTCTGGATTCATTAGGAATTAGCACGACCAAGGTGAATAATAAGCATAAATATGCAATTTTATTAATGATAAATAAATAATGCAATGCTTTTAAACTCAGGTCGGTTATCTTGTGACTGATGGCCCTAGCAATATGGTTTGCGGCTTTAAGAATTGGATCGAGGAGACTGAAAATCTTGTGACGGATGAAGACGATTTAGCTATCGACCTTGAAGACGATTCACAACCGGAAGACTCTGATATTAGTGAGAGCTCTGAGGATGAAGAGGAAGAAAGTGATGCAAATGATCAAGTCAATGTAGCGACGCCAAACATTACAATTGGTGAAAAAGTTAGGATTTCTTGTTATGCACATACCTTGCAATTAGTGATCAAAGACGTCATTGGAAAAGGCGGTAGACCTAAAGAAGTTCTGGATTGTGCTTTCAAAATTGTAAAGTATTTCATGCGGTCAAATTATTGGAGAAAGCGACTAAAAAAAGTTGTGGGGAAGGTGTTGATAAAGCCAGCTGCTACTCGATGGAATTATATTTATTACGTTTTGGAACGCTTATGCCAGGTAATTTCAGATCGAACGATTTTAAGGACAATAAATCATAATTTTAATTTACAATTAAAATTTTGGAATTTTGCAGGATAAAGTGTACGGTGAGGTTTGCAACCTAATAAGAGAAGCCAGCACTTGTTCAAAGAAGCCAAAAAATTTGCCTCCCACACCTAGCATTGAGCCTCAAGAAAAAATGATCGAAATAAAAAATCTCCTAAAGCCAATTTGTGACGCAACAAATAAACTTCAAGGTGATGGGGTAACCAGTAGTTTGTTTTACTACTCGATAGTAAATGCATTTAACGGTACGAATATGGCAACATAATTTGCTGGGTTCCTTTGAATAAAATATGTTTAATTTATCCAGTTACCCAATTCAATTTTTCTAAATTTGTAGAAATTGCTAAAACTCCAACTACACGATTCACTTGTATGAAAGCACAATTACTGGATTGACTGAAAAATCGATTCGAGAAAGCAATAAATAATGACCCCCACATTATCCTGAGTGCTTTGTTGGACCCTCGTCAAAAATCCGACGTGTTTAAAAGTACGAACACATTTTAATCTTATATGTAATACGTTTAATGTTGAACAATTTTTAGTCAAACCTGCCTTGTATGGAACCAGAAGCCTTGAAACTCCTTCAATTGACGAGGTCACTGATATGCTCAAGTCATATTGCAAGGAAGATCCTTCGGCTGAAGCAGCATTACACACATTTCCTGAAAACGAAGATAACGACGACGATCCATTTTCCATGCTGCCAAGGATTGTCAATTCGAATACTACTGTCGCTCATGAAGTAGACAAATATTTAGGTCTACAAAGAGAACCGTCGAAATCCGATCCACTAGAATTTTGGGCTAAAAACGAAACCAGCTTTAAAGAATTGTCGAATTTGGCCAGTCAATATCTTGCAATTCCGGCATCCACGGGCAGTGTAGAGCGGCTTTTTTCTCTACTGGGATCATTTGGACGTTCAAGGAGATCAAGTCTGAACCCGAAGTCTTTGGAAAATTTAGTGCTTCACCGAGAATATCGTCGTCCGATTTTGATGAGAGCTCATCCAGCCATAAATCTCTCAAAAAAAGGAAAGTCTGGAGCCGGACAACAAGTGCAATAAGCGGAAAACATTGAGTACGCGAGCAATTTGTTTTATTATTTATATGAATTCTATTTTTAGTAGGAGGAAGAGTACACAAAGGTGGTAATATTCGATATTGATGCCGTTGGATATTTTGTTCTATTTCGTTGAACGCAGAGCCCTCAGAAAATGTTCGAGCTTATTAAATTTTCCGAAAATTAAAAAATATATTTTACATATGAGTATGATAAAGTAGTCATCTAAGATCACCAGTGGCTGCTGGGGAGCTTAACATTGTGGGATAAAGGGGGACTTGTGCAAAATACGATTTTGCTGAATTTCCCCGTCTCAATGAAGATAATGAGAATGAAAAATTTTGAAAATCTATCCGAAATTGGATTTTTGGTGAGGTTTGGTGAAGGATTTGGTTCTGCAAGTTATTAAACAAATTATCTCTTTGATTGGTGTACCTTCCTCTTAAATGACAATGAAACCATAATATATTTGATCACATTTGATTATAATCAATTATATTTTGATTTTAATGTCAATTGCTAAGAATGGAATTCATCTAAACAATAAAACAAAATGGTACTAATTCGCTCAAAAATTAGTTAATAAGTAGATACCGTATATATTTGTAATACAAATATTATGTAGAGAGGATATTACCGATTTTAGCACATAAATATTTCAAAAAGCCTTTACCTCTAAGAATCTTGGAAATTTTTTGACTCAAATGCTTTCATCATTACCTTGAAATTCATGTCAAATTTAAAGTTCGAGTTCGCCCGAGTAACGCGGCATATGCATATTACATAATAATTTGAACTCAAATTGTGGATGGGCTACCATGTGCAAATTGTGAATACAAAAAAAAATGAATAAACCGTCGCAAACGCATGTAGCTAAAGGGTGAAATATGTGTCAAATATACGTCAAAATGAATATCATATTGATTTTGCCACAACTTTTGGAATACTCAATTTCATATTTCATCTATAGATTCAATTTGAGTGAAAATCTCATTTTCCCCCAGACCACACCCCCACGCGCCAGATGGTGTGGCACAACTCGGGAGCACTAAATTTCACTTATATGTATTTCATTCGTAGCTTCAATTTCTGAAAAAAGAACTCATTTTTCCCCGACCACACCCTCTGGCGCCAAAGGGGGTTGTCTTATTGGTCCCACAAGTTGATAGGATCCTCCTCGGGTCCTATGCGTAATGTCGAAAACCGATTTCGATTATCTCGATCCGTTCTCCTATTATCCTGTCTTCGCATAAAGTAGCTGAAGCTACTTAATAAATGAACGAATATTTGAATGAATAAATGAACGAATATTTGAATGAATAAATGAATATTGGAATGAATAAATAAATATTTGAATAAATTAGTGAATATTTTAGTGAATGAATAAATATGTTAATGAATGAATGAATATTTGAATGAATGTTCCCCATTGTCAATGAATGAATATTTGAATGAATGTTGCCAATTGTCAATGAATATATATTGAATGAATGTTGCCTGCACTTCATGACAATGAATGAATAATTGAATGAATAATTTTTTGTTGAACACGTATGCCAGGAAGATGTCAAAATTACGCACGTTTCGAAACCAGATGACCGACGTTTTTCGGTGTGACGACCTCTTGCAAAATATCGTCCCAAATCTGAAAACTCTTGCGATTGGGAAAGGATTTTCAAAGTCGAATTGTGGGGATGAAATTTTGCAAAATATTTGTGAATCAGATAAGATTTAGCCGAACATGAAGAATTTGACGGTCATGGAGTTGCATGATCCCAAACTTTTAAGACGATTGGTGACTGCATTTCCGAACTTGGAGAAGTTGAAGTTGGATACGTTCAAGGGGACGGATTTCCGTGGGAAGAAGACTCGCATGAAGTTGGGCGTGGTGCTGAAGGCGTGTCGGGGTTTGGAGACTGAAACATTTGGCATTGGGTTTACCAAAGTATCCAGAAGACATTGAGGATGTTATCCAGGCTCTCTTAAAGGCCAAGGAATTATTTGAGCGTAAGTTCCAAAGTTGTGTACGTATGTATTTGCATAAATTTGAATAATATGAATATGCTAATTGTAGTTTAACTCTTTTTAACCCGGGTTTGGTAATGAATTTCATTATGTTAATTTCTCCTTGACCTATATTTCAGAGTTGAAAACCTTCACGCTTGGGACGTCCGATTGGGATAATGAGGTTTACGATTTGTCAGAGGACGAAATGGATTTATTTCAACAACTCCTCGTCGCCATGGGTGGAATGGACCGGGTCGAAATTAACAATTTTTATGTAAGTCGGATTTTTGTTCATTGACAAAAATAATTATACTTAGAGGATTTTGTATTATTAATTACAGTTTAGCAAAGAATCAGCGGAAAGTATACTCGCGTTCATGGCGCTGAATGAAATGCCCGTGTCGAGATTTTCTGTGGTGGTGGAAGAAGAGTCGGATGGCGAAGATGCGTCCACATCGGGGGACGAGGACGAAGCGTCGACATCGGACGAGGACAGCGAGGGCGACGACTTAGAGGAGGAGGAGGATATATATTTATACATGGATGATAGCAGCGATTTCGAGGATGATTGGCGCGTGGACGATAGGTGGGGTGAGAACGATAGCGAGCGCGAGGATGAGAACGAGCGCGAGGACGATAACGATGATGATGGCAGCGATTAGTATTTCTTAATTTGTATTGAAATAATCCAATAAAAATAAATACATCACTGCAAAGCAAATACTGAATGTTTTGAAGCCTATTTATAATTATTTGAATGCTTCAATAATGATACATTTTAAATGACATAGTACCCAACGGTACAAAAGTATTTAGTATTTAGTTGACATACGACCACAGATATATAGTAGCACTTGCATATCTGTCCATACGACTGAAGATTAAAACATACCGTTTAGTAGATGTGCATATGGAGTAAATGTACATATGGATTTATTGATGTAAGTATTTACTGTACATTTGTTGCATCAAAAATTAAGTTTTGCAAGATTAAAAATGTCATTAAAATTAAGCTGTCACATTTCCAGCTATTAGTTCCAGCTTGGGACTTACATACGAATATGTATACGAGCATACATATTTATTTACGTATGCACATCGCAGGTGGACGTACGCCATGCATCCGTGAACGAATGCATACAATAAATTGCATTCGAGAGATGACGATGGACCAAAAAATTAAAAGAAAACATGAATTTCCGCAAACATCTCGCTCCTCCAGGACTACGGCGTGACTTTTTCTAAAATATCGTATACAGAAAACTACATTCCGGTGCTCTGCTACATATGTACAGGGTGGTTAAAATGTCACGCTGCAATGGCAAATTTTTCGATGGGAAAAATTCGTAAATTTCCATCAGTTACGAAATTTTGTCTCTAAAATTCAACATTTTAAGAATTTCGTCATCAGTGGTGTGGTCCATCAGTTTTGATAATAATTATAATAATATCAATCTAAAATCTTATACCTAATGGAGATTTAGGGGTGTCCCCATCTGAAAATTTTCCATTGGAGCGTGACATTTAAACCACCCTGTTGTGTACATGAAGTTATTATGCGACTGTCAACTGTGCCTGTATTTATCTCCAATTCTAGGCTTAATAGAGTTAATTTGCATTGCCCCCCCCCCAGAAATTCTTGAAAGTCTTGCCTTATTAAACCTTTGATGCAGTTAATTTGTGTCGACTTTCGAATATTTGGCATAAGGAAACATGCGCGATCAGAAACCAAGCGTGATGAAATATTATTACTGCATAAGTTTATTTTATTGTATAATTTTAAACCCCCGTAAACGTAAATTTTGAAATTTTGAAGTATGTACGCAAGACAACAAGTCACTACGCAAAAGTTTAATTAATTCTAGGTTATACATACATTGATAATATAAGTTTCTCAATATTTTTTGCACAACTACCAGTATTCTTGCATAAAATTTGACACATATCATAAACATAATTTATATATTAATATTTGTTAAATTAAATTGTTGGTAAAAATTTAACTGCACACTAATAAATACATGTGGTATAGAAAGGAACTGCATATTTTCATATTAATTCGCATCAATTACAACCTTAGGTGTGACCGATCGTTAGTTATAAGTAGTTAAATGGATCATACATAAGTGTGCAAGTAAAAGAGTGGTAGTCATTTTTGTACACGTATTAATTCTACAATATATATGTACAGTTTTGGGTTTTGGTCACGTTTCTAGTAATTATCTGAATCTCTCTATTCTTGTATACTCCCGGTAGGAAAACCGATAGATAGATACCTTAACTCTCCTATTAAGCACATCATTAAGAAATACAATTTTCTAGTTTTGTTTGCCTAAACCTATTCATCATTCTCGATACCTTTGAAAATGTGATTTTTTTGGTAGAAATAGGAGTTCTTTTTCAGTATTGGACAACATATGTATATGATAAGTTTTTAAGCAGAGGCTACTCGAATTGCGAACGGTGAAACTCTGACCCCATTTTGGTGTTCCATCCAAGTCTACATTCATAAAGGTTTTAAGGAAGTTAAGATATAAGTACGGAACAATTAACAAGCGAGCCGTGGTTCTTATGAGATCTGATATTTCTACACGAAGGAGGGTGTACCTGCAAATTATGAAAAACAGTAGGGCTCCACCAACCCAAAATGTGTGATTTTCACAGGTATACATAAAGAGTGTCTTAAAAATCAGAGAGGAATCGTTTCAATTTTTATTTTAATAGATTCAATTTTTATAAAAATCTCATTTTGCCTCATTTCGACGTACGATTCCTTTGGCGTCATCTACACGGTCACGCGGTTGTGACATTTTAAAACTATGCCTATTTTTGAATTTCCGCCCAAAATTATGTCTAAAACGGTTAAAAGAAAAAATCAGGTAGCAGGTTTTTTCCGACCTATGTTTTGTTTACGTCATCCATGCGCCGTGTAACCTGCAATCTCATACACGAGGCATGTGTTGTATGTAAAAGATTCTGCGAGGTTAAAACTCGTTAAATCTCATGTCATCTTCCAGGTACCATGTCCTTATGATAACCATCAAATTACGATAACCATTTTCATTATTTCTTTCTGGCAAATATTTCCGAAATAATTTTCGAAGTAATATTGAACTAATGTTTCTGACTACGGTCAATAGAGTCACTTATATACATATTTGGGTCGGATGGACCCCAACCCGATCTGTTTGTTTACATGTGAACTCTTAATGGTGATACAATTGCAATATGACACGGTCCTCCCTATGCCACAGACGAGACATGGATAGACCCGATGGAACATGGATCCTGCGGTAACTCTTTGCTGAATAGCGTGTTAATTTCTAGTAATCGATTCAAATCTACGATACAAATATAGACTTGAAATGCACATCTGAACTTAATCAGGAACTTGGTTTCATTTAGCAGAACGTAATTGTTCTCTTTGTATAAAAAAACGGGTCACATTGATATAGTGATTTACAGGTAACAAGTCCAACGTATACATACGCGAACTTCTCACGCAGATTATTTAAACAGGAAATTTAGGCCACATTTGATAACAAGCGATAACGCTTTATTAGTCCCGAAAGACAAATATTGGAGTGTGTCCAAGTTATTTTAGCATATGTAAGGACCATATTATGTATTTGGCCATTTATAAGATATGGTATGTAGATTTAACTCTGGCTCCTTTAAAATTATGCAATACCTTGTTATTAATTAGTTATATGGATGATGGTATTAGAATTATTATTATAAATTGTTTTGATAGTTCCTACATATTATGTATTACGAATAAAATAAGTTAAACTAAAAGAATACACCAGGAGTATCAGTCAGAATAACCCGTTCTCTTGACTACCCGTACGATTTAATTCAAAAGGTTTAGCTTAAGTTAGGCTATTTGACCCTAATTTGGGCCCAATTTGACCTTAAAATATTTTAAATAAATCAGGAATTGAGTATAATTATTATTCCGGTATTCAACGTGTGCATATTTTTTATCATGATGTCTTAGTACATACATACATACTAGGAATTGTAATTCCTCCAATGTTGCACACTCCATCCCGTTCAAAACAACCGTCACACTTACAGTGCTATCTTAAAAACTATAATTCAACACAGACAAGGCCTGATAATGGTACCGTACATAATCGTCAAAGTAATGTGCGAAATAGCTACTTATGTATGTTTGAAGAGTATCGAATTAAATGCCAGATTTACGTCATCGTTATATGAATTCAATTTCTAGAAAATTGAAATTTCAGGCGAAAAATTAGATTATTGACTTTCTTATGCGAGAAATTACCATTTCTTGGATAACACTTAATTGGATCACATCATGGTCATGGTAGATATGCTAAATTTTTTATACGGACAGGGAAAGAATTATCCTCGCGGGGTGCAGTAGTTGGCCAAATCTGAATTCTTATGGTTGACTCGGAATACATATGTAGTTTCTGACGTTGTGAAGCCTGCGAGCTTGCCGGATTTGAGGCTGTGGAGATCGGCATATTAGTATTTGTGACCCTCTGCCTGCAGTAACGGAGAAAGTTTTAACCGGAATGAGCATAATTTAAATTTAAGCAGGAATTTCATAAATGAGGCAATTCATACAGGTTTTGGTAAGATTGTAAAATTCTCAAATTCTGTAAACTTTAAAACTTTTATAAACTGCTACAATTATTTCTTAGGGAAATTAGCTTCCAAATTGTTGAAAACGAGGTCAGATTGTTCTCATTTTGCGAAACTTTGTAACATTAAATATTTTATAAAAGTTACGGATTTGTTATTTACGAACAAGTTCGCTAATGAATTTCCTCAATAGACATATGTATGCATGTAAATACATAAAAATATAATTCATGTAAAAATCAATTACATTAGTACGGTGTCCAATCCGTTGTTTCTATGATGACAAATGATCATCATTGTCAATTTTTCACCATTTACGTCTGAAAATTAGCAATAATATTAATTATATACGTTGCAATCAAATGTAAGTTTATTGAGAAAAATTAGGTTTGTCAGCAAAAACTTTATATTTAGATGACTTACTACTTAATTACATGGTTAACTTCAACATATGAAAAGATGCAACTTACCCATTGTTTTACGCAATTATGGTTCTTTCCCCGAATAAATATCACATTGTCGAGTAACTTTTAATATGCATTTTTTGATTATATTTTAAAGTATGTAGGATCAAAATTGCGACAGAATTTTTAACATGATGTATTTAATTTTTGTCTATTTTATTTTCAACATTAAATATTAATGTATTAAATAATGAAACCTACAAATATATTGCTTAGCAACAGGACTGTTGTTAAGCAAGATGAGATTAGAACTGGTAACGACGAAGTGGTTACATATTAAATACATATGTGCGAAAATATTTAACTATGATAACTACATATTTGTTCGTGCATGGAGCAGTTATCTGGAAAGTGGGTCAAAGCATGCACAAGCATACATATGTATTCGCTAAATATATGTCAAAGTGGTTTGGTCGACAGGTGAAAAAGGAGAGATCAATAAATTCATACAATAAATGCATAAGTTTTCTCCGTTTATGTAAATATGTAGATAAGTATGTAGTTATCGTGGTTGTGGTGGCTATATACTACTTTATGTGATATGATATGAATTCGCAGTATGCAGTAGTTGCAAATTGTGATGGTACGTATTTATGAATTTATAATACATATGACAAGATGCTAAAGTTAATGTCACTAATTCTCATGAATATTTACACTTGCAAGAGGACAAGAGAGACGTGCTTATTTGTCTTTAGGTATTTCAAATAAGGATGTGTGGAACACTTATTTTAAAAAATATGAACAAGTTTTGTACCGTTTTTGAGAGGAAATAAAAAGTAAGAGTTATACAGTACACGTGAAGCACGTATGTGTAAGTATGTGTAAGTTTGACCGTCACGGGAACCTACAGAGGTATGTGTCACACAAAATATGTAAAAGGGCCCATTTATAAAATGATAATCAATTTTACATATCGCATTTTGCTTTGAATGCTTAACCGAACTTTTACAAATAAATATGCTTCCATCGTTCCAATGATACATACGTGGATATAAATATGCATGTAGGTATGAATGCATGGCCATGGAATTTACATAAATAATATAACACAGGACATGAAAAGGGATGTTTAAAACTATGTATGAAGAAATAAGAGAATACTTTGCATTATAATTTTAAGGGGAAAAAATAATTTAATTTAGCCCGCACACAAAACTGATATCTTATTGACGTGCATATGTATGTATGAAATATATTTATCAAGCTGCATGTGGTCTTGGCATGACGTCCTTAAAAAATACGTCCCCATTTTCCACAGCACATTAAAGTATTAAAGAACTCAAGTCTTAAAATGGGTGTGGCTCCCTTGCTACATAAATGTCTTAATAATTTCTCCCTCATATACGAATACTTTTGGGGATGGACGATTGAGTGGGATCGTAGAACTAGGAAATTTATCGTTAAACCTATTTCACTCGATTTGCTGGGCTGGGTGATCGGGAACTTTCTCCTGGTCCCGATTGACCTCGTGATTTGCGGAATACTTCTTACATCCCAGATTTATGGGATCGTTAGATTTCAGCTTCTGCACGTCATGTTAGTTATATTGATGGCGCACCTATTGGGATTTGCATTCCTGGCGGATACTTTAATGTTCCGGAATCGAGATGAGTTTGCATCCTCATACAATGCCGTGATAAGAGTGGGAAAGGAAACAGGTACATGTGTACATAATTTATGATAAAAATTGTGTAGAGTTTTCGAGACCATTTTTCACATTTCGATCTAATTTAATCGATAAAATCGATATGTGAAAAAGTTCAGAGCAATAATTCTAATAATACTTGATAAATAAATATTAAGATTCCACATGATATTTGGCAAATATTTTGAAATTCACATAGTTAAATATGAGCATCGATTTCATAAAACAGTTGTTATTACTTTTGTTAATAGTGCTCCCGACGAAGTCTGAATGCCAAATATATATTATGAACCCGAAACTTTGTTTCTGAGGATTCGCCCATCTCGATTCTGATTTTTTTTTATTTAATTCAGGCCGAATCCGGATTCATGGGGAGCACTAGCTTTGATTTGAAAGCTAATAAAAATTCTAGTAGTGAAGCTAAATTTTTATTTCAGGTCCTACAACATCTCCGACCTCTCAACTCTTCGAAAATATCTTGAACTCAATGATCCCACAATTTGTAGCTTATCCCTTTTGTATCACAATTTTCATCCTGTACCCCGCCCTAGATCCTTTATCCCTCCTAATTTCTCATCTTTCCCCATTCGGCCATCTTCTCACCTCCCCAGTCTTTCTCTTCATCCGCTTTCTCCTCGTTTTTCCTCCTTCCTTTCACGTCTGCCGCGTAATCTGCTTCTTTCACATCCACTTTAACTTCCTCACCCAAAATCTCCTTAGTTCCATTCGCTCCGTGAATGTAGGGTTTAGACGCCTCCTAAAAAACTGGGGCATGGGAAGATTCGGTGTCGCTAAGTATTTGTGGGATTATTTGAAACAACAAGTTTTAACGTGTCAACTACCCGCCGCTCTTGGCGAAATCGTTGCTTCCTTCATGTTCATGTCACTCGTGGCGTGCGTATCCTTTAATTTTGTGACAGTAAAAGTTCGAAACACAGTTCCGATGCCGTTTTACCTCTATTTCCCCTCAATCTCCGTCATGATCCCGATCGAGCTGCAGATCATGTTGCAAACAGGGATTGACGTTTTTGAAGAATCCAAGCAAATGTGCACCAGGTGGAAGGCGTTACTGGAATGTTGTCCTGACCGGAAGTTCTTAAGGAGAAAGTTGCAAGCTATGCGGCCAATTGGACTTTACGGATCGATATCCTCCTTTAAGCTGTACTGGTTGAAGAAATCTGTGAAACCGGCGTATTACTCGGTCGTCGTGGGTTACACGATTACGGCACTTTTGTCCATGGAAAATCGACGAAGCATAATTTACATATGACAAACCCTCTACAAACGGGATTATAAAATTGTAATCATTAATTCTCACTTTTTCTTAGGTGAGGCATAGTAACCATGACCACATGAAAAAATGCATGGTTACGGCGAAGCCTTAGTATGCAAACAGACCCCCCCTCCAAATATTCTGCCAAAGATTGACATTGATTTTCATGTGCAGAAATCTATAACCCGTCATTTAAAGCAAACCCGAGCGAAATCGGATAAGAAATGAAAAACTTTTCTTGGTGGCATCTTCAACGAGTTACAGTACATACGTTAATTATAATGGTTCGTCATTACTTAAATTAACAAGGTTTAATTGTAGCAAAATTTTAATATTTATGCAAGATGGCATATTTGTATTCAATTAATCACGGCCCACGGCGAGGCAAATGGTCCCAAGCGCATATACTTTGCTGTTATGTTTACCGAAAATTATAAATCATGAGATGAACATTGATTTAGCATATTATGTTACTACACGATGATAACATCTTGTTTTCTCCTTTTAAGCATGCCTCACCTAAGTTTTTTTAAAAAGAATTAGTTTATTATAATCACACTTTTAGAAATCCAGTATTACAATAATAGAAAGCGGTATTCATTTATGACTCTACCAAAGTGGTATTTATAAGTAATACCGTGTAGTAATAGCTATGTATGTACATACTGTTGAATTTTTATAGCCGGTCACCTCATTTTGAATATTTTGACCCATTCGCGAGCGACAGGGTTTATTCAATATGGAAAGCCCGTATCGCCGAAAATGGGCATAGTGAGATTTATTCAGATGAGGTGACACGCCTAAATACGAGGACAGTAGGTATTAAAGTTTTCCCATATGTGTCAGTATGCATATACAGCAAGTTTTTACGGACCAGTGTACATAATTTCGGAACCTACTAACCTTAATACCGACGAACAGTGCAGACACTTCTGTGGTTTTCGGAGATTATTTATTACACACATCGTGCGAGTAATGGGTACCCGATTCGCTACCCGCTGGTCAAAAACCTTACAGAAAATATCTAATTGGACAGTAGACGACTAATTACTTAAACGGTAAACATGATACTCGCCTTAATCATTTATTAAAAGTTTATTTCATATTTACAAAAATTTTGTCGCCTAAATATTAAAATACAGTACAATGTTTCAGAAACCGCGCTTGTTACACACAAGTATTATGTATGCTAATTTGGACATTCATAGTTATACCCATTCCTCCGAATAGTTTCTAAATCCACGGAATCTGGCCCATCCCCGCCAAAATCTGGGCTTAGTTTGGACACATCAATTCCATGCGTTTTAAGCAGAATATCCCTCCAAGCCTCCTTATTCGTTCCGTGCAGCTCGATCAGACTCGCGACACTGGGCGGGGTTATAGGAGCAACAATGTTGTTCCAGACAGATACCGCGTATTGGGGAACTAAATAAAAAGTACGACTTTTTACTACCCACAAATTATGTATTTGCGTCTAATTTATTTCTAAAAAAAACATTACTGTTTAGAAATATAAGTTTGGTAAAGATTAACGGGTTCCTGCCAGCGCCTTCAAGGATGCGAATGAAGAAGGAAATACCTTGAAAAAAATTGTTATTAAAATAACGGAATTTTTATTAATAACGTTTAATAATTTTTTGTGCATATATATACTCCGTATTGGTACTGATTTGGTAATATCTATAATGACTTCCTATACCGATTGGGATAGTTTGTTTCTAAAAGTGGTAACGCTTCATTACCATAACATTACACTGTGGGTATTCACGTCAACTTCGTAAAAGCCGTAAACATCTCTTCGCAACATATCTTCGCAACTTTGCGATATTTGCGAAGAGTTGCGATGCGATAACCAATCAGATTGCTTTATTTTTTTACGAAACATGCGAAGCAAAAGGGCATCTATTATCGTCGTAAACTATTTTTCACAAACTCGTCGTCAAGCGAAATTTTAATCTCTCTTCAATTTTGGAAATGTTGCCAGATAACCTTACACTTTTCCGTCGAATGAATTATTTTTTGCAAATAATCAATTTACGCATTTTCATGTAAAATAAGTAGTTCACGACACCGATTTCGCAAACACCGCAAAGTTGAGAAGATGTGTTGCGAAGCGACGTTTTTAATTGACGTGAATACCCACATTGTAAACAAAAGTTGGGGAGAATTTACTCAAGGTTGCGTAAAAAAGAGGATTACGCAAAAATTGGGTAAAATTTATCCAACCGTTGTTTAAAAATTGTCAAATTGTCTTGTCATTTGGGAACATTTTCCATAACTATTATTTAGAGTGTACTAAACCGTAATTCTCATTATTACCATGCCGGTAGAGTCATATGTACCCCGGTCAGTAATGTTTTAATACCAATTTTCTAAGTGTGTAGAACTTCTCCCAAAACACAAATCGGACATTATTTTCTGTTCAGGTTTCGGTCAAATGTAAAATTCAAATTTATTATTTACTCACATCTTGGACACAATTGTTGCTGAACACTCACTCCCGAAAATTCACTGAGAAACTGCACCCTGGTTATGTTGTTTCCACTCTTCTGCATATTTCTCATGACGAAGCCCGCTTCTTCATATAATTTATCGATGAAGCGATACATTTTGTCGGACTGACCACTCACTACGGCCCTTCGGAGGTTCCATTCTCCCACAAAGAGGGACAAAACTGAAACGAAGTAACAATTTAGGAATAAAATTAGAAGATTATCATGTAAGCAATTCGTTAGGGGCCGTCCATAAATTACGTAAAGCGAATGGGGGAGGGGCGCACTAAGGCTCCAATGATATCGTGTCTATGTTACACATGCTAAGGGAAGAGGGGGTCTAGAAATTCGCGATTTCTGCATTTCATACATTATTTTTAGGACGGCCCCTAAAGTGGCTTGAGTTGTGCTACAGTTTCTTGACTGCTTTCAGTGCTTTCCAAAAAAGCTACAAAAATAACATTTTGTATTAGATGTATGGGTCGCTATGAGGCACGAGAATTATGTAGTTAGGGTAGTACAACGCTGTTCGAAATTTAAATTTATTTACATATCTCCGCTCCGCTCTGGGTAGTTGGGGATAAATTTTAAATTGTATTCTTAAAAACTACCCAAGGTACAGGAGGTATAGTACTCCTTAATTAAATTAATTTTAATATCGGATTTCTAATAGTGTGCATACACTCGCTCTACAGTTGAAGTAATTACTAATTAATTAATTAATTGCGTGGGTAATTAGAAAGCCCCGGTGATTGATTTATACATACTTGCACCACTCCATTAAATAGCATATACATACATACATAAGTATGTAATATAACTACCTGGTTTTCCTTCCGCATCGCATCCTTCCACACTTATACGATAATCTTTATTAAATTGGGTCCAATCGTCTTCAAAGATGGAATCAATTTTGTTTTCATCTCTCCAATTAAAATTCTAACGAGGACAAGTTTCAATTAATTGATCTTTCCGACTCAGCATAACTGGTTAGGGACCGTCCATAAATTTCTAAACGCGAATACCGTAAAACCTCTATTTATAGCCCTATTCTAATTATAGCCGGTCTCCAAATATAGCCGGGTCTAGAGACCAAGATTTTAAAATTTTAGCCGGGTCTCTAGTTATGACCGGGTCTTCAATTATGGCCTTACTTGTTCGCTGTGTCCCTGTTCATAGCCCATGCAAGGAAAATGTAGCGCATTATGCTAGTCAACGAATAAATTGAACTACTAATATTGACCCATTAATTGCTAGCTAATAATGAATATAATCATGACAGAAAGTTGAAAAACCTGCTAAACCTCGTTTGAAGATGTAAATTTAAAATCAATTGGTTACTGATGACATATCTTGCTAAAAAAGAAAACCCAAATTGAGCCAGCATGATCTTGTTACATGTAAAAAATTTTGGCAGAGCAAGATTTAGCCGGGTCTCTAATTATAGCCGGTCTCTAATTGTAGCCGGGTCCGTGACCCTCAGTTTTGGATTTTAGCCCCGGCTATAAATAGAGTATTTACGGTAGGTGGAGAGGGATAGGGTCTAAGGATTCAATGAGATCATGCCTACATAAATACGTGACACATGTTAAACGGGGTAGGAGGGGGTCTAGAAAATTGCTATATTTGCGTTCCGTAATTTATGAACGATCCCTTCTACACTGTATTTCTCGTATTCAACTAAATACCATGACGATTTCCTTTGTTGCAGCGTCAACATTGAAATTATTTACTGTGAAAAAAATACATGGTTTTAGGTGAAACATTTATAGACTTTAAATATGGTCTATGTTATATATGTAAATATAAATATTGTTAGTAAAATTATCTACATAGTTTGTCACCTCGTAACCATGGAAGTAAGTATACTTCCGACTTCATATACTCGTGCGGAACTCGTGGAGTTATAATAGCCTTGAACTTAAGATTAGGACAGAAAAATCAAACTTTAGGGAGGAATTTATGCGAATTACGAAAAAATAATTTAGTAAGTACCTCGTCAAGTTTCACTTTCTGGTCGAAGGTCAGTGTCAAATCTTCATCTGCCAGCGTCCCCTGAGAGCTGGGGACACAGGCTGAGGCACAAATAAAAATGACTACCAGTACCACGACCATGTTCACTAAATCGACCACACTTGCAATATGACCATGACCCAGGCGACGACCACCTTGATAAAACTTGCAACATCGTTATTTTACGTGTTTAGGAGTTGGTGAATGTCTACCCGAATCCGATGGGAAATTTGTAACCCGATTTCCTTCCAGGTGGAAATTACGCAATGATTACACCCTGGTTCACTCTTAAAAATACGGTCACTCTTTTGAAAAGTTAATAAACTATGAATGCTATCTTAAACAAACTGTGCTAAATCCAGAGTAAACTTTACTCTTAATTATGTCAACTTTACTCTGGATTTAGTATAGTTTATTTAAATATAGAATTTAGAATTTTACTTTTCAAAAGGGTAACATTATTTTGAAGAGTGTGTGTTAGTATGTTTACGAAAGAATGGAATGTATTTAAACTAGAGTGCTGCAATTATGTAATTCTACATGGAGATAATTGCTTACATAAATTAAGTGTTAAACTGGTCCATCCATGAGAATCACTCTGTTAAGAAATTTACTTCCCATACACCAAGGGATTTCTACACTATTAAAAATCTGGTGAAGTCAACAATGGTATTGCTTTTCAGTATTACTCTAACAAAGTAATATGAATATCGCTTGGTAATATTTTAATACTGGATTTCTAAGAGTGTGCATAAAGTACCCAAACAAAATCTTCGAGTACTTTTCCTTCTTGTTCTGGCTAAAAGTATGTAATACATAAATGCAAGCACGGATCTTCGTTTTTAGATTAATTATGGATAATTATGTATTTAGATGAGTCCGGTTTTATGGTGAATTTTTTTTTTTAAATATTAGTTAGTGTACCACCACGTATGACGTAATTTACGCTCGGAATATGTAATTGAGTTCAATTATTTTGCAATTTTTCTCTTCTTTAATATTGTTTAAACTTAAATTGGCCTTCGCAATAAATACTTATTCTCGATTCATTAAATGCAAGAACTTCGGATACCCTGTAAATATGTGTCAGTTTATTAAGTTGCGTCAGCTACTTATTGTGATCGTTTTGTCCGTCCAGCAGGATATATCAAAAACCAGTCAACATAATCAATCGCCGTTTTCGACATTGTGCTTCTAATTTTTAGTTCTAGATCGAGTTACGAAAATTGGGCCCATCTGACTACCCTCCACAGCGACAGGGGGCATTGTCTAAAACTAAACGGGTAACGGGTAACGGGTACCCGGTAACGGGTAACGGGTAACGGGTACGGATATGCGGGTAACGGGTACCCGACCTGCCTGCCGCACACGTGTTCCAGCACCTTAAATGAAATATGTACGTATGTATTTAGGTGGACACTGTTTGACAAGCTAAAAAATCAACAGGGTACATGCCGCAATAATTTATTTAGAATATATTTAGGCATATATGTACGTATTTAATACAAAGGTTTTGTACCTAAATAATAAAAGACATTGATACATTTGGAAAAAACTCTTTGTTTGTACACCTCATATCTTTGACACAATTTTGCATTTTGTAAGCTACTTGGGACACTGATAGTTATGCCCATTTTTCTTAATAGTTTCTAAATCCACGGAATCTGGTCCATCCCCTCCGAAATCCGGGCTTAGTTTGGACACATCAATTCCATGCTTCTTAAGCAGAATATCCCTCCAAGCCTCCTTATTCGTTCCGTGCAGCTCGACCAGATCCGCGACACCGGGCGGGGCTAAAGGACCAACAATATTGTTCCAGACAGCTACCGCGTATTGGGGTACTAAATTAAAATATGACTATTTAGCCCCCATAAATTATGTATTTATAAATAATTATTTTTGAAACATTACTGTTTAAAAATATAAATCTTGTAAACATCAACGGATTCCTGGCCGAATCTTCAAGTATGTGAACCAGGAAGGGAATGCCTTGAGAAAAACATCATTATTTATTTTTAAAAAAGTCAAATTTTGATCTAATTTTTCGTAAAAGAATTTGCTGTTCAGGTCTCCACCAATTGTAAAATAAAAATAAAAATAAGGGTACTCACATCAACCTTCGTGTATCTCGTATATTTACATACATAATTTGCAAATTGAGCATAGGAACATAACTTGCGAAATTTGCGAGATTTCGCCCAAAACCTTTGCTGCAAAACTGTAGGAACTTTTTGGCAAATTTACTCAACAAGTGGCATGTTTTTAATTCCCAAACTCATCCTCACCATCAGCGGCGAGAAAAATTATAGAAGCAATATCAATATTTCCATGCATTTCTGTAATTTTTCAGAGCGATTTGTGAAAATTTATTCGCAAAATGTATTTGGCGAATCCCCTTCCAGCAAGAATTTTTTGAGCTTAACAAGTTTGCAAATGAGTTACGATGCGAAATAAAACGTTGACGTGAGTACCCCTAATTTTAATTCTCCTTACTCACATCTTGGACACAATTGTTGCTGAACACTCATTCCCAAACATTCAATGATGAATTGCACCCTCGTTATGTTGTTTCCACTCTTCTGCATGTTTCTCACGACGAGGCCCGCTTCTTCAAATAATTTATCCACAAAGCGCAACATTTTGTCTGACTGACCACTCACTACGGCCCTTCGGAGGTTCCATTCTCCCACAAATAGGGAGATAACTGAAACCAAGTAATTACATAGTTTAGGAATAGCTGAATAATTTGCCGCGGAAGCGTGGGACAGAAGGACAATGTCGCCACAGTTATTCAATGTCCCCATGATCTGTGCATGTTATACAAACCACTCCCTCCCCTACCCTATAATGTCCACACAGGTTCCGCAGCCACTAAGCGGACTAATTATGAAGCAAGCAATTCAAGTGACTTTGATTGTTCTCAAATGTCGTAAAATTGATTGGTAAAAATTAATTAACTAACTTTTTTCTAATTGACCTATTTAGTACTGACTACCTAAATTCTAATAAAATTTCCCTGTGTTGATTTCACAATTATACATACATTTCATAATTATATTTGATTAGTAGCCAAATAAAATTTTCAACCAGTTTCGGTTGAAAGTTACGTTTTATTTGAGTTTCTTGACGACGAAAGCGGTAAAAATTCGATAGTCACATGTATGTTCCGTACTAAATAGTATTGACTTGGTAACAATTCCCTACACACAATAAAAGCGTAGTTGCGATTATAACCAGAAAGTATTTATAACATATGCATATGCTCTACCGCCATGGTTGTAAATTTGCCACAAACTGGTTATAAATCTTTCACAAGTAATGACAAATTTAATACCAGTGATAATAAATTGACTACCAGTCGGTGACAAATTTATCCCAATGGCGCTAGAATCATATACATATGTTCACTTTCTGGTTATAATCGCAAGCGCTATTTCTTAACGTTGGATTAGGTGACTCATCGCCTGTGACGTCACAGGTCTAAAATTCTGAACATTTTTGCGCATTGCTCCGTTCTTGGAACTTATTTTTAAATTCCGTCAGATCCATTTGTAGACCAGGTCAGTACCAATTTATTAAAAATATGTACTCAAGATTTTGACAAGTTTTGAACGAGGAGACCCAATTTTTCTGAAGGCCTTCACTCCTTTTGGGTCTCCTTCTTCAAAACTTGTCAAAATCTTGAGTACATATTTTTAATAAATTGGTACTGACCAGGGCCCCATTTCACCACACCCTACTCTGCACTCCAGATTCCGCACTCTGCACTTTACACAATTTGTAGTGCAGAGTGGGAGCGTTTCACTGTGGCGACCTACTCCGCGAACTTCCGCTCCACAAAAATGAAGGTTTGCGGAGTGAAAATGTGGAGTTCATTCACTCAAATTTCAGAACTTTTTAACTTTCTCAATGTTGTTTCATCATTTTCTTCTCACACGACTGACACCTTCATAAATTTATTGTTCTATACCCGTGATCGTCCAATCAAGTGATAATATAATCAGTTAATTTAATTACAAAAATATTGGATTGTAGATAATATATTTCACTTCACTTATGGTTGATCAAAAATCATAAAGAGAAATACAAAAAACCAACAGTGCAGACTTGACATAGCCCGAGTCATGCCAAGAGTTATCACTCAATCCGACTTTTTTGCATGAAATTTTATCTGAAATGTGTATTAAAAAACCTAAAAATTTAAATTGATTTTTCAAATTTAAATTCATATTCTTCCATGAGTACCAATTAGCAGCCTATGTGCCAAATTTCAGCCTGATACTACGATTTAAAAAAATCGGTATGGGTCACCTAATCGAGTCCTCCAGATGAGAATTTTTCCTATTTTAATTCATATTGTTTCATTAGCATCCATTACCAACTTTTCTAACAAATTTCAGCTCGATTTGACGAATTTGAAAAATTGGTATGGGTCACCCCGTAGGGTCCGTCCAGATGAAAATAGGTCCCATTTCAATTCATACTTTTCCATTAGTTGTCAGTAGAAATCCAAACACCAAATTTCAGCTCGATTGAATGAGTTTTAAAAATCGGTATGAATCACCCCCTAGGGTCCCTGTAGACTAAAATTTTACTTTATATTCTTTCATTACACACCATTGTCAATCTCTATGCCAAATTTCAGCTTTCTACAATAATTTTGAAATTTTGGTGCATAATACCCCACCACCCAGATGACCCCCACCAGTCAACCACTTGACCGATTTCGCCCATCTACGAACCTGACTCTTCATTTGACCCTTTTCTACATTTGTGCAAAATTTCGAGTCGATCGGATTATTCTACGACAGTTATCGCAAGGCAGACAGACGGACATGACGGGTACATAAGCCCTGACTCGGGCTAAAAAGCCAATTGCAGAGTGTCCGAGCACTTTGCAAAAAAATATGTAGAGTGCAGAGTTTCGAGCGATGACCTTTCGCGGAGTAAAATTTGGTGAAACGGGGAAGGTCAAATTTCACTCCGCACTCCCCAAAATTTGACTCCACAATCTACACTCCGCACTTCACAAAATACTACATTTGTGAAACGCTCCACTCCACAAATCCGCAATTTTTTTTGTGGAGTATGGAGTGCAGAGCACTGGTGAAATAGGGCCCTGGGCCCCATTTCACCACACCCTACTCTGCACTCCAGATTCCGCACTCCGCACTTTGCAAAATTTGTAGAGTGCAGAGTGGGAGCGTTTCACAGTGGCGACCTGCTCCGCGAACTTTCGCTCCACAAAAATGAAAGTTTGCGGAGTGAAAATGCGGAGTTCATTCAACCAAAGCGGCTATTAATTTTCTTAATGTTACATCCTCTACTTCTCGCACGACTGACACCCTCATAAATTTATTGTCCTCTACCCGTGATTGTCCAATCTAGTGATAATATGGTAAGTTAATAATTAACTTACCATAGTTAACTTACCATAGTTACCATAATTGACTTACCATTAACTTACCATACTTACCATTTTTTTGTAATTCAATTATTGAATTACAAAAAATATAGGATTATAGATATATTTCATCATTTATTTATCATAGCCTCCCAGAGTTGCAAAATCTCATAAACTCTCTCTGTTGAACATGATTAAACAGAAAACCTACAGTACAGACTTGATATAGCCTGAGTCAGGCCAAGTTGTGGTTATCACTCAATCCGACTTTTTTGCATGAAATTTAATATGTATTTAAAAAATTTAAAAACTTCAATTGATTTTTCCAATTTAAATTCACATTCTTCCATTAATTGGCTATTTAACAAATTTCAGCTCGATGCTAGGATTTCAAAAAAATCTCTTTGCGTCACCCAATAAGGTCCTCCAAGATGAAATTTTTTCCTATTTTCAACCGTATTGTTCCATTAGGAGCCATTACCAACTTGTCTATCAAATTTCAGCTTGATTTGAATAATTTGAAAAATTGATATGGGTCACCCCATAGATAGGGTCTGTCCAGATGAAAATGTGTCTAATTTCAATTCATACTCTTCCGTTAGTAGCCATTAACAATCCCCACACTAAATTTCAGCTCGATTGGATGAGTTTTAAAAATCGGTATGGGTCACCCTCTAGGTTCCCTCTAGATGAAAATTTTTGAAATTCTACTTTATATTTTTTCATTAAAAACCATTATCAACCTCTACCAAATTTCAGCTTTCTACGACAATGTTAATATTTTGGTGCATAATACCCAACCCCGGTCAACCACTTATTTCACCCATCTTCGAACTTAACTCATCATTTGACCCATACTACATTTGTGCAAAATTTCAAGTCGATCGGATTAGTTCTACAGCAGTTATCGCAACACAAAGAGACGAACATGACGGGTACATAAGCCCTGACTCGGGCTAAAAAGCCAATTGCAGAGTGTCCGAGCACTTTGCAAAAAAATATGTAGAGTGCAGAGTTTCGAGCGATGACCTTTCGCGGAGTAAAATTTGGTGAAACCGGGAAGGTCAAATTTCACTCCGCACTCCCCAAAATTTGACTCCACAATCTGCACTCCGCACGTCACGAAATACTGCTTTTGTGAAACGCTCCACTCCACAAATCCACAATTTTTTGTGGAGTATGGAGTGCGGAGCACTGGTGAAATAGGGCCCTGGTCTACAAATGGATCTGACGGAATTTAAAAATAAGTTCCAAGAACGGAGCAATGCGCAAAAATGTTCAGAATTTTAGACCTGTGACGTCACAGGCGATGAGTCACCTAATCCAACGTTAATCCTGCAGGATTGGTAGTAGTTACATACATAGTTTGTTTATGGATGGTTTCATTATCAAATTCTCTGGTTTATTATACTATACTTGAACCACGCCATAAAAAATACCTGGTTTTCCTTCCATATCGCATCCTTCCACATTTACACGGTAATCTTTATTAAATTCGGTCCAATCTTCGTCTAAAATCGAATCAATTTTGTTTTCATCTCTCCAAATAAAATTCTGAAAAGAAATCGTTTTAATTATGTAATCTTTCCAAATTATGATTAACTTAACGCGTTACATTTCAAATATTGCATTACCGTGACGAGTGCCCTTGTCGCAGCGTCAACATTGAAATCATTTACTGTGGAAAAAATATTTAAAAAAAATATTATATGCTTACAATTTGATTCATGTCGTAAATGTACATACTTCGGGTGAGTTAAAAAATAAGCTAAAGTGGAGTAAAAAGTTGAGGTAGAAATTTTCCGAAGAGTAAAAAAGTACATATGTAAAGTCACACAAGTTAAAATGGAGCAATCAACCCGGAAAATCTCAAATTTTGCTCATCATTATTTGCAGTATAAAATAGTTGCCTACCTCGTAACCACGGAACTAAATAGATTTCCGACTTCATGTACTCATGCGGAACCCGTGAGCTCATAATGGCGTTGAACTTGAATAAAAAGTCAAACTTTATAACATACATTCTTAGAAATCGGGTACCTAAAGGGTGTTAATAAAGTCCGATCCCATTAATTTTTTGGAGCGCGGTTGTTACAAATTCAGCTGGAACTTTTGAACCAGTGAAGTTATTTATTTCAAATTTTTACCATGGGAGGAACAACTAAACGTGTAAGTCATGAGCATCTTAGAGTTAAGATACAAACATTGCATCAGCAGGGGTTTAAACCTGCAGAAATTGTGCAAAAATTGGGCTGCAGCCGCAGAACTGTTTGGAAATGGAAGAACACAATTTTGTCCACGACAAAAAGCGACCCGGGCGACCCAGAAAGGTGTCACCTACCACAAAAAGAATGATTAAAAACAGACTTTACAAGAAAACCGGTAGTTCATTACGTAATTGTGCAAGGGAGTTAAATGACTCAAAACGCTATAAAGAGAAGAAGAAGCAAATTAACTATGTGACCGTGCAAAAATTTGTGAAATCTACGAGGTGGGGTCACACAGCTTACAAACTAACCAAAAAACCTCTCATGTCACAAAAAAATATCGATGACCGTCTGAAATTTGGAGAACTCCTTCAGAAAAGTGGCCATTTGAGTGAAAAAAGACTTGGTGAAGAATTGCGCAGTCACATCCTTTGGACTGACGAATCTATTATTGAGCTATATCCAAAATTGAACCAACAAAATGTTCGTTACAGGACAGAAAACAAATCGGATGTACCATCAAGAGCAGTCCCAAAATTCGGGCTTAAAATTATGGTAGCGGGTGGATTTTGTGCACGTGGCGTGACTCCTCTACATATCATACCAAAAGGCCACACAGTCAATGCAAAGTATTATATGGAAAAAATATTACCTATCTATTTCGATAGCATGGGGAACAAGGAAATATTTCCGAATGAAAGAAAAATAGTTTTCATGCAGGATGGTGCTATAGCCCATACAGCAAAAGCGAGTTTGAGTCTCATCAAGACGCAAGTTTCAACGGTCTGGAGCAAGGGGGTGTGGCCCGGAAACAGCCAAGATTTGAATCCCCTGGAGAACCTGTGGTCCATACTTAAGGTAAATATATACAAAGAGCCACAACCCCGGACGAGGGAAGAGCTAGTAAAAAAAGTTCAAGATGTATGGAATTCGATTCCCACAGACACATTGGAAAAATTAGCACAGAGCCTTAAACAAAGAGTTGAGGGCATGATTAAAGTAAATGGTGACAAGACCAAATACTAAGGTAAATATGTCGAACATTTTTTGTAAGTATCACGGGTAGTTTTTTTTATACTAGCCTTCACTTTTTTATAGGAAAAATGGGATCGGACTTTATTAACACCCTTTATATACATATACCTACGAATCAGTACATATTTACAGACGTTATTTAATGGTATTTCAACAGTAGTCCACTTAATGAATAAATTATTCTCCAAAATTATGTATGCAAATTAGCTATGTCAGAACACATACATATTTACATATGTCCTACTAATTCGCAAACCTTTTCCTCCACAAGTACATGTTTCACTGCTTGTTTACTAGTGTAAGATTACATAAAAAATAAATTTCATCGATAAAGTTGTCCAGACCTCGGGTAAAAATTTCAAATTCCAAGTTTTACTCGTAATTATGTATGCATGTACATACATACGTCTGTACCTATGCATGTCTACCCGATTTTTGTTGGGGCAGAATTGCAATTTTTGTTGTTGTTAACACATCGCATTTTATATAAATATCCAGTTTTCCATGCAACTAACAGGGTGGGGTCGTTCGTAAATTATGTAACACCAGAGGAGGTGGGGAGGGGTCTCAGGCTCCAATGATATCGTCACGATATTATCGTGCATATGATACACATTCTAAAGGGGGGTCTAGAAAATCGCGATTTTTGCGCTACCTAATCTATGGACGGCCCCTTACCGTCCTGTTTACTTGGACGGTGCGGTTACGAAGATGTCAATCAAACGGGTTAACTAATTAATTAAATTAATCAAGTACTCGAGTTTGTAGACATGACATTAATTTTATTAACCAGACCTGCAACAAAAAAATTAATTCACGTCACTCCCGATCACTGACAAATCAACGAGTTTATCGCTAAATTAAATATGCTAATTTGTCGGCAGACTTACCTATGTACTTATCTACCTCCGGCCTCCTATAAAATCAGGGAGCAAAATCTCCAATAATTCAGTACTCTCTGAAACCCGAGAATAATAAGATGTTCAAGACAATCGTTCTATTATCCTGCCTGGCAACCGTTGCCATGGTAACTTCTACAAAACTACGCACCGAGGATCATACCAGGTTAACTGGAGAGCAAAGGGCCGCATTAGATGAGGTATTTGCAGATTTAGTTAATTTTAGATAATTAGATAATTTCTGATTACATATTTGTCATCCTAATTATTAACTCTTTAATTGATAGCTGATGAGAAGAGTTCTGCCCAAAATTAAGGAGGACTGGGTCAAGGATGAGTTGTACATTTTGAAATTTCTTCGAGGTAAATTTCATCCGTAAAGTTGCTTATATTATTACCAAAAGGCCACACAGTCAATGCAAAGTATTATATGGAAAAAATATTACCTATCTATTTCGATAGCATGGGGAACAAGGAAATATTTCCGAATGAAAGAAAAATAGTTTTCATGCAGGATGGTGCTATAGCCCATACAGCAAAAGCGAGTTTGAGTCTCATCAAGACGCAAGTTTCAACGGTCTGGAGCAAGGGGGTGTGGCCCGGAAACAGCCAAGATTTGAATCCCCTGGAGAACCTGTGGTCCATACTTAAGGTAAATATATACAAAGAGCCACAACCCCGGACGAGGGAAGAGCTAGTAAAAAAAGTTCAAGATGTATGGAATTCGATTCCCACAGACACATTGGAAAAATTAGCACAGAGCCTTAAACAAAGAGTTGAGGGCATGATTAAAGTAAATGGTGACAAGACCAAATACTAAGGTAAATATGTCGAACATTTTTTGTAAGTATCACGGGTAGTTTTTTTTATACTAGCCTTCACTTTTTTATAGGAAAAATGGGATCGGACTTTATTAACACCCTTTAGTCATGCAGGTACATATGTATTGATTTCTCGAAATTACAATTTCTACCGCCGTTAAAATTAGCTGAAGATGGTAAAACTTTAATACGGAGCTATTACTACACGGCATTACAATACTTATCAATACCACTTTGGTAGAGTCGGACATACATGAATACCGCATTGTATTATTTTATTACTGGATTTCTAAATAAGAGTGTACGGGACACAATTTGTAGAAATTTTTAAAATAATTTACTCAGTACATACCTCATCAAGTTTCACTTTCTGGTCGACGCTCAGAGTCAAATCATCATCGGCCAGTGTCCCCTGAGAATTGGGGACGCAGGTTGACACACAAATAACCATGATTACCAGAATCGCGACCATTTTCACTAAATTTACCACACTTGCAATATCACCATCCCTCCACGCCACGTACGTAATGACTAACTGGATAAAACTTAAGAATATGCAATTATTTCACTTGTGGTAAACTTATGTATATACACGTGACGCAATATCATGCTTAACCGGCTGGGAATTCTTTTTTCAGTGTTTTTTCACCCATTCCTTTTAAGTGGAAAATTATGTTCGTCATGATTACAACCTGGAACATCAATTTTTACGAAATGATAGAATGTAATAAAACTGGAATACATACCCACGTATGTACATAAGTATTACAGTAATTATGTATGCATCTAGTGATGATTGACGAATGCATAAAAAATCAAATTGTAAACTGGTTTACGACGAGAATCAGTCGACTAACAGATTTACATAGGTACATACTATGTATGTACATACATACATACTTCCCACACATGTCTATTTTTACGGCACGAATTTAATTTCCATATATATAAATCATTACATTAGCACAACCATTTACTTCTGACTCTGCATACTTCTAAGATGTACCGATGTACACCCTTAGGATTAGAAAACTATGGTATTAAATCATTACTGACGGGTTTATACATACGTATATGTACATATTTACGTGGATCTAACTGTTTGGCAATAACGAGCATTACGTTATGCTGATAAAAAATTTACCACTGTACAAGAAATTTCTATCAACCCGGTAGGAAAATACATATTAGTTTACATATTTGTAATAATGTACAAAGCACAGAGCATCTATATTACTCATCATTACATGTGTAGTATTTAGGAGTAGAAGGTCACTACTTGTCGGGCCCCGATTTCGATCTCCTTTGGATATGTTGTAGTACTACATGAGTGTAGAAAAAGTGAAGGAGGGTTAGACTCCATGAGCCCAGTTACGCCCGCCACACCCCCTCAAAGGCGCCAAAACCCCCAGAGTTGCCGCACTAAAATCATCGCCAAAAATCGACTCAACTTTTTTGAAATTTTCAATATTTTCGAAGATTTTCTGACCAAGGGTATGTATTGAAAAAATTCGAAATTTCAAAAAAGTTGAGTTTGCTATTGGATATGATAGAGCAACTATCTGGGATCATAAAAATGTAAATTTCTTGAAAATCTGACCAAAACTCGATTTTTGGCGATGATTTTAGTGCGGCAACTCTGGGGGTTTTGGCGCCTTTGAGGGGGTGTGGCGGGCGTAACTGGGCTCATGGAGTCTAACCCTCCTTCACTTTTTCTACACTCATGTAGTACTACAACATATCCAAAGGAGATCGAAATCGGGGCCCGACAAGTAGTGACCTTCTTAGCCACGGTTCAAACTCAAATGGATGAGGAGTATACGTACATATGTATGCATACCCTATATGTACGTTGTCAATACGCGCTAAAGATTGGCGTATGCATTTATCCATATCGTTAACTGTATATCTGTCACGATTAGGTAACTTGTTATCATACATGTGATAGTTAATTGATCAATTGTTTCTCCATCGAAACAAAAGGCAGATAACGTCCTGACTTGTTATGAAGTTAGTCACCTTGGTCTCGGTTAAATCAGCTTCAGTCGTGCATGTGCAATATTAAAAACTCCATATTTTAAATAAAATTGCGCTATATTTTCATATCATATTTTCGTCTTTCATCAAAGGGTTGCAATTTCCTGGAGTTAAGTCGAACCCAAAATACTCCTTTAGTAAATATGGAATACGGAACAGTAAACGTAAACCAAAGCATTGTGGATCTTACAAGTATGTAAATGACAAATATATATATAAAATGTGTCAATTCAATAATCCAACTAGTATTTAGCAAATTTATTATATTATTCCCTTCTGTTCAATGTTTTATAATTTTCTAAATGTTTATTTATTCTTACACTTACACATGCATCATTTTTATTCATTATTATGGAGGACTTCTTATAAAGAGGTTTTATATGTACATAATATGTATAAAACTTCTATCTTTGCGTTTTCTTATTTCTTACTTTGACATGTCGTTTAACTATTCCAGCAATTAATCTAATACTCTCAAGTTCCAAAGCCGCTGAAACTCGCCCGGTGAAAAAACCCGTTAAATTATCGGATGAATATGTCGATCCGTTGAATCAATCCTGTCTAAATGGTAAATCAATGCTATACAAGTAAATTGACAAACGACAACTTTTAATAAATATGTAATTCATTGAAATTGAAAACTAGCCCAATCAACTTTTTCCGTTGTAAAAGGGACAAAAATGCACAAACTTAAAGTCATGCAGAGATGTTTACTCTACATGAAAATCAAAAATATTTATTTCACATCATAACATTGCTAAACTTTCGCTCCGCAACAAATATTAATTGTAATGTATTACCTATAAGTATTTTTAATTACATCAACAATTTTCTAGAGAAGAAAGCTTAACATCACAAATTATAATGTAATACTTATTTAATTAACTTATTTATAATTTTTTTTAGAAACTGCAACTAATTTGGGACACATATCTACAAAAGAGATCGTCGATCTCTTAATTACCGACGAGTATTACGTCACTAATTGGAAACAATTCTACTACGATTTACGAGCACCCCATCCAGATTTTGTCCAACTGGAAATGCTCTACAATTCCGGGGCCAGACCGTTTCATGACATAATAATGAAAATCTTGAATAACTGGGTAGCAATTCAGAGGAATCCACCAAGTGTACGAAAGTTGTATGGAGTCTTACTTTCTGGCGATTTCGTTAGCGTCGCAGGTAAAAATGAAGGATTTTTCCTGATTATACAAAAAATATGCTATAATCCTATAATTCTCATAGATATGTGTGGTCCCTGGAATTTAAGTTTGATCATAATTTATAATTTTTTTTCATAAGTTATCCTTAGATTTCCCAATATTTTTTCAGAAACGTTAATCAAAGCCTTTCCACTAACTGCAACCATAATTCCGGAACAATCCACCCACACTGTAAGGTCAATTAGGTCACAAGTCCTCAACTTTGAGGTTCCACCTTCCCCCTTCATAGGCCCCTTAACAAACCGCACCAAAGAAATGGTCCAACTCATAGACCACTTCAAGTTCAACCGACGCGCCGTAGTCGTCACGGGACCGACCAGCGTAGGCAAAACCAGTTTAGTTGCGCACTTCGCGGCCACAGAGTTTGACGGGTCCTGCATTTGGATCGACGCTAAAAATAGCGCCACATTTACAAATTCGTTTTCCCGCCTAGCCGCGAAACTTGAGATATCACCGGACTTATCCGCGGCAAAAATCTTAGAAAAAGTTTACACATTAGTGAGTAACCGCCCAATAATGTTCGTCTTTGACAGCATCTCGTCCCCCCAACTAGAAACCGAGATAACTCAACTAATCCAAATTTTCAATGAGTATCCGCAGCCTTACCCATTTTTCGTACTACTGACCCGAAGCTCAAAAATGTTTTCGACTATAAGTGACCGTGTCGTATTGAATGCGTTAGAGTACGTTAAATGCTTCACTATCATTTATGCTCTCGTGGAGACGATATGCGGCCTGGGTTATCTTGTCGTTGGAAGTTACGGAATGCAAATGTATAACGATGGATCCTTTCGTACCAGAATTTTAACGAGTTCGATAGTCGCCGGGGTAACCATGCTAATTCATCAAGTGCTGCTCATTGTGTGGAGAAAAGTTGAGAGAAAGGTATTTATTTCAATTTGAGTTTGAATTTTTGCGTCTCAACTTTCCCTTCTTCCATGTTTCAAATGGTGATTTTGAAACCTGTTCAAGATTTTATGTAAAAATTGATAATTTTTATCTTTGGGGCCGTCCATAAGTTACGCAACGCAAAAATCAAGATTTTCTAGACAGACCCTCCTCCCGCATTAAAATGTCACATATCATTGTAGCCTTAGACCCCCCTCCTGCGTTACGTAATTTATGGACGGCCCCTGCCTAGCACAAATAATTCCACTGTATGTACATAGCTCTCTTGTCAGATTTTTAAGACTTGATCTTCCCTCGATTATTTCAGAATGACGACAAAAATGTCCGACATGGTAAAATCTTCAGGATTTTCTCAATCTTAATGATCATCATAATCTTTGCCGCCTTGATCGTAATCCTTTTAGACGCTTGGACATACGTATTTGCGGACGACGAGGATGAGGCATATGTAATCCTTACTGTGCTTATGCACATAAGTAATATTACTGTAGTTGAGTATTTCATCTACCTTTTATTTACATCTTGTATCATGTTAGGGCCTTGTTTCAAGGTGTGTTTCTAACCGAACAAATGCATAAAGTGTTTTATTTATATTCATTAGGGGAAACATTCATTTATGATTAATTGAAGGAATTAAAATTATGAATTACCCCGAGAAAATAAGTAAGAATAAAAAATATTTCGGGGAATTGTACAATTTTGCATTAATTATACGCTGCATTCGCACACAGTTGAATTTGTACAGAAATTGAGAAATCTGAGAAACTACAGCACTGTCAGTCTCAATTTCCCTAAACTTTTGATTACGGGGAACCTTGAGGCTGGCAGTGTCGTAGTCTCCAGAGGTGAGTTGGATTATCATTTTCCAAAATCCAATCCATCTAAATCCAACTCATTTTATCCTAAAAAATCCAATCCATCCAAATCCAACTCATTTTATCTTAAAAAATCCAATCTATCCAAATCCAGCTGGATAGGATAGGACGATGGATTATCCAAATAAATGGATATCCAAATCCAAGTCACCTATAGATCACACCTCGCAGTGCCCCCAACCGACTTAGACGGGTTAAACTATCTTCTCCAGGAATAAAACGGTTCGAAATTCGAAATTCTTACCTTTATTTACATCACGCATTATGTCGAATTAAACCAAAGTTGTTATTATTATCCAAAAAACAATAAATCCAAATCCAACTCATTTATCCTAAAAATCCAATTCATCCAAATCCAACTGATTTTTATCCTAAAAAATCCAATCCATCCAAATCCAACTCGATAGGATTGGATGATGGACTATCCAAACAAATGGATATTCAACTCACCTCTGGTAGTCTCGAAAGTACTCTCCATTCGCACACAGATGAACTTTTACAGAAATTGTGAATTCTGAGAAACTACAATACTGCCAGTCTCAAACTTCCCCGTAATAAAAATTTTAGGCTTTTGACTCATCCTCAGAGAGTGGCGTAGTTTCTACGAATTCTCAATTTCTGTAAACGTGAATTTAGAGTAAGCATCAAGTGTTCGTCGTTTTAGTCCAACCCTAGCGGGAAATTCACTCTTCGTGACTGTTTACTACTGGATTACGCTCTGGATAGATAAATAAAATAAGTTATTTTCAGAAAATAACTCTCTAGCTGCGCATTTACTTTTCAATTGTTTAATTTATTAATTTCAAACGCAAGCGAGAACGTTGATCTTATCTCTTGATACCTTCAAGTTATTCAGTTAAGAAGATTATATATATTTCTTCATTACGATTTCCCACTTTTTTCAAATACATTAATATTTCTTTATTGAACATTTTAAAACAAGAAATTTGTGGCACTTCAAATCTCGCAATGGAATTCCAACCGGAAGTACAAAACGCGCAAAATATCGCACTAAATAATCCGCTCGTAAGCCAAATAATTTTAGACGCAGTGAGATTGAGAACAAGTTTCTTTAACACAATTTCAAATTTACATATTTATTTATTTTCAATTTGCAGATTTTAACACAAATATTAAAACAGGCCTCAATCCGGTTGAAAACTTGTCGCCTCGTGAATTCATTCTGGAACGACATGGTTCTCTCCTTGCCAAATACGAGACTAGCTTTAGACCTGAATCGAAAGGATGAACATAGTAAAATTTCATTTCTCGAATTGTGTTCGTCCCAAGAAGACGCCAAACTTGTGAAAAGGATCACTTGTCTCGGTCGGACGATGGAGGACACTTTCCCTCCGAAACTACTCCAAGTTTGCGATAAGTTTGGCACCCGCGTGCAAATTTTGGAACTCCACATCTCTCAAGAAATCAGTCTGTCCTCGGTGCATCAAGCTTTGAAAAATTCCTGCCCGAATTTGAAGCAATTACGAATTAGTTTCTCACGTTTCCAGACGTCAACGAATCTGATTCCAGGAGAAGTTATACCAGCAAAGCAAAATTTGACAATCTTCAAGGTCAGTTCGAAACGGATTACTGAAAATCTTACCAGCTTTATCGAGGTTGTTATCAACGCCTCTCCAAATTTGAAGGAGGCCATTCTTACGTGGGGATTCTTCCCAGATTTGTCAAATTCCAAATGTCTCGAGTCCTTAACAATCGCGCTGGATGGCGTTGACCAATTCCGCATCGTCCGAGTGAAGGATAAGCTGTCTGATCTGTCCCATATGCTGAGTCAAATTAGTGACCAACTCATCAAACTAAGCTTTGCCTACGTCAAACATGACGGACCGTTCGACTTGGACGGAACAATGGATTTCGAAAAAATTAAATTCCGCTTCCCCACAATGAAGATGTCGAAATTACAAACATTTCGGAACCTGATGACCGAAGTTTTTCGGTGTGACGACCTCTTGCAAAATGTTGTGCACAATCTGAAAAGTCTGACGATTGGGAGAGCATTTTCAAAGTCGAAATCTGTGGATGAAACCTTGCAAAAAATTTGCCCCTCGAAGAAGAATAAGTTGTTGCCAATGCCAAACATGACGAATTTGACGGTCGTGGAGTTGCACGATCCCAATCTTATGGAACGATTAGTGGCCGCGTTTCCGAACTTGGAAAAGTTTAAGTTGAAGACATTCTACCCCACGGATTTCTGCAAGAAGAATAGTCGCATGAAGTTGGGCGTGGCGCTGAAGGCGTGCCGGGGTTGGAAGGCTTTGAAACATTTGGAATTCGGGTTGCCAAAGTATCCAAAACAATTTGAGGATATTATCAAGGCTCTTTTGAAAGCTAGGAAATTATTCAAGCGTAAGTTGTCTACTTACCTGAATAAATTTTTCATAATTGTAGTTAACAACTTAATCGTGGTAACATTAATTTTGAAAAAAAAACATTTTAGTTAATTTATAATCATGTTAATTTCTGTTATGTATATATGATTATACATAAATAAGTGGTACACAGTGAGAGGAGACAGAGGAGAGTATTTATTAGTGGAGAGTTAAAGCTGGAGTGAGTACAGATTCATAACTAATTACATATACATATCTACGTAGGCATACATATACCTAACATTTCAGAGCTGAAAACTTTCGCCATTTGGAGGACGTTAAGTTTTGACGAAGAGAGGAGTCAAGATTTGTCAAAGAAAGAAATGAGTTTGTTTAAGCAACTCCTCCTCGCCATGAGTGGAATGGAGCAGGTGGAAATTGACGGTCTTTATGTGAGTCATGTTGTTATCCATTGATTTGATAGGAATAATTATGCCTGACTGGATTATTTGTTTGAATTTATTCCAGATTAGCAAAAAATCAGCGGAAAGCATTATAGCCTTCATGGCGCTGATTGAAATGTCCGTGGACAAGTTTTCTGTGGTGAAACAAGCGTCAGACGATGAATCGGATGAAGGCAGCATTAGCGACGACTACGATTGGCACAGGGAGAGCAGTATAGACTTCGATTTTTCGAATGATTCGGACGAGGACAGCGATTAGTTTTCATGTTATTCAAACGTTCTCAACTTTGTATACTTATTTTTCTTGAGTTAGTTGATACTCCATTATTAGAAAGTAGTGCTCCGCATGAATCCGATTTTTCCCGGATTCGGATTCGTTCGAATCCGGATTCGAGCAGATCCGAATCTCGAGGAGAGGGATTCGGATTCGGATTCGAGTGGATCGAATCCCGTAAACCTAGGATTCGGATTCGGATTCGGATTCGTAAGGATTCGAATCCGATTCGTATCTGATTCACAACTTGCACAACTTAAAAAAATCAATTAATCGGTTACAACAACCGTTTCTGTATTGTTTTCGTTACGTTGTTCAATACATAATTTATTATAAATTTGAAATTGGTGGAAGACTAAACACTATTTCGGAAAATTTTAAATTTCACATTTAGTCTCACATTTGATTTTCATCTCACCTCATAATATAAGGGTTTCGATCAGGGGTTAAATCTAGGTCTAATCGAACTTTTCCTATTCTGAGGTTGCATAACATTTAAGATTTAAAAAGGGATGGAAGGTAGCACATACATATTTTTGGTACAAAACTATATTCAAAGTAAAAAAATTTCGACTGTGATATCAGCACTATATTTAACCAATTCTCTACGTAATTGGTGCGAAAAAATCCTGCTCAAACCTTTACAAAGCATATTGACGTCAAGTGATTACGCAATTTCAACCTCGAATTGTTTAAGTTGTTTTGAGAGTTACTGTAATACCAGCACTATCTTCAAGTAGTTATTTCGATAATTATTATTAGTCGGTAGAAATTTTTTTTGCTTTACAAAATTTTCCAACTTCAAAGTAATATCGCATACCACAAAGCATAATTGAAGATATGGAAAACACGGAAAAATGGGAGAAACTCTGTTTAGGGCAATCCGAAATAACTTCTTCAAAACCAAGGTTTTCAAAATTTAAAAAATGGTAACAAATGTTTCCCGATTTTTTTCCTAACAAAAATAGAGCAATAATTGAGCAAATATTGTTTTGGACGGGAAAAACAAAACCCTGAATATAATACTCTGCCCATATTGCGCATTAACGATGGATTCGAATCCTGTGTTGGTCGGATTCGGATTCGTCCGGATTCGAGCAGATCCGAATCCTGAAACGCCGGATTCGTGGTAGGATTCGAATGTACCGAATCCGCCAAATTTAGGATTCGGATTCGGATTCGGATTCGAGATTCGGATTCATGCGGAGCACAATTAAAAAGTATTAAATATTTGAAATTCCTCAATTTTTTTTCACGTTTAAAAATTTAAAGTGTTTAATGATTTGTATTTGTATCGAAATACATACGCAAAATATTTGTTAAACTGTAAATATCTACTAAAAGTTTGGAATTATTTGAATAATAATATACATTTTTAATTAAAATAAAAACCTACCCTATTGAAGTAGATTTATATTACCATATACACAGATTATCTTAGTATTATTCGTATCGTAAAGTAACTTATGACGGTTACGAGATTTGAAAGCGTGGAAAGATTTAGTCATTTCGTTGAAAATCACGTCACAACCTATTGCGGTGCATCGAAGTAAACGGGACAGAATTTCTACGTGCCAAAATTACGTGCCCACTTGATTAACATTGGTGGCGGGCTGAAATTCAAATCAAATCTGTCCCGTTTACTTCGAGAATTCACAATATGCCTACGATAATCATAATACGATTTTTGCTAAACCTGACCCATTTTTTCATAAACTAGATATCTATCTTACGATACTAAGGATACTAAAGAAATAACCAATACCCTCACTATAAAAATACTACGGAGGATTACTTCTCAAACTTTTTGAACATTTGTGACCTAATTTAGGGCACAAGTTAAACTTGTGATTAATTTCTATTTTTCGAAGAGATCAGCGTTTTTCTAAACCCACCCCAATTTTGTATTATTAAAAATGTCAAATTATGTACATATGTAAGTTGTAACGCACTAAATTTCAGGAATTATTTACATATGTAGGTGTTTAGGAAATATGTGGAAATTTCGAGTGGCAGACTCTTCATAAAGCATATGTATGGCAACTTAAGTGGAGACATACAAAAGTGGCACATTGCTGGGGCAAAAATTATAAAAATTATTCATCACATCCTTCACGCATGGCCCATCTACTCTAACTTGTAATTATCAACTTGTATCATTAATAGTCAAAAATCGTTAGTGCTTCAAAATCTTTAGTATTTCCGGTTTACTAGATATTTTATTAGACGCATTTTAATTCACTACAAATTAATAAACACTTCAAAATTTTTAAACTTTAAACATAAAAAGAAATTCCGAGAAATTTCAAATATAATTAACTATTTAACACTTTAATTAAGGAGTATCAATTTTACTCCATTATTATTATTATTTTATAAATTTTCCGGAACAGCATTTCATTTTACATGCTACAAAAAGTTGGAAACGCTTGAAATGAAACTAATCGCTGTCATTATCGCTGTACGCCCGCCAATCATCCGCGAGATCGAATTCCATGCGGCTGCCCCCCCCCTCTCTCATGTCATAATCTTACAATTATTCGTCATCCTAGTCGCTGTCTTCATCCCAGTCATCTCCGTCTCTTCTGGCACGACTTCGACGACAGAAAACTTGTACACGGGCATTTCGTTCAGCGCCATGAAGGCGTGAATACTTTCCGCCGATTCTTTGGTAAACTGTGTAAACATTTAAAAAAATCGTGTTAAACATAATTATTCTTTTCAGCGAATAAAAACCTGACTCACACAAAGCTCGGTAATGTTGACCCGGTCCATTCCACCCATTGCGATGAGGAGTTGCTTGAACAAATCCATTTCGTCCTCTGACAAATCGTACGGCTCTCGACAAAAGTTGAACGTCACAAGGATCAAAGTTTTAAGCTCTGCAATTTAGATAAGAGAAATTTATAAATTCACATGTCTAAAAATGAAGAATATATTTTCAAAGGTTAATGAGATCAAGTCAATTTATAAATAAACCTTATGCATAAATGCTTTGACTTCAAAACAAATTATTTTCCAGGGAAATTCTGACACTAGCATATGTATTTATTTACTATGCAAGGTTATACCGATAAGCAGACAACTTACGATTAAATAGTTCCTTTTCTTTCAAGATAGCCTTGATAATATCCCCAAATGGTTCTGGATACTTTGGCAAACGCAATTCCAAATGTTTCAACGCCTTCCAATCCCCACATGCCTTGAGCACAGCGCCCAACTCCATGCCGCTCTTCATCCCTCGGGAATCCGTCTTGTTGAACGCGTACATCTTCAACTCCTCCACGTTCGGAAACGCAGTCACCAATCTTTTCAAAAGTTTGGGGTCGTGAAACTCCCCGATCTCCAAATTCTTCAGGTTTGGGTTTGTCAAAGTCTTCTTCGAGGGGCAAATATTTTGCAAAATTTCATCAAGACATTTCCCTTTTTCAAATGCTTTCCCAATCGCAAGACTTTTCAGATTGGGTACGACATTTGGCAAGAGATCGTCACACCGAAAAATGTCGGTCATGTCGTTACAGAACGTTTGGAGTTTCAACATCTTGGGCAAGCGGAATTGAGTTTTTTCGAAATTCGTTGTCTTGTCCAAGTTGGTCGGTCCGGCATTGTTGACTTGGCGAAGTTTGAGTTTGACAAGTTGGTCGCTCACTTGATCCAGATTGCGGATCAGATCTGAAAGCTTATCGTTCGCTTGGGCGATGCCATATGAGCCAACGTCATCCAGCGCGATTGTCAAGGACTCGAGACATTTGGAATTTGACAAATTTGGACAGAATCCAAACTGAAGAGTGACCCCCTTCAAATTTGGTGAGGCGTTGATAACCACGTCAATAAAACTGGTAAGAAGCGCAGAAATTCGTGTCGATGTGACTTTGAAGAATGTCAACTTTTGCTTTACCGGCATAATTTCTCCTGCTGGAATAAGATCGGTTGAACTCTGGAAATATGAGCCACAAATTCGCAATTGTTTCAAATTCGGGCAGGAATTTTTCAGAACTTGATACACCGATTGTAGACTGGTTTCATGAGCGATGCTGAGTTCCAAAATTTCCACGGTGTCGCCAAATTTGTCGCAAAGTTGGATTAGTTTCGGTACGAAAGAATCCGTCCTCGTCCAAGCGAGACAAATAATACTTTTCACAAGTCGAGCGTCTACTAATGAGGAACACAATTCGGAAAATGGAATTTTACTGCGTTTTAGCTTTTCGTGAGGATTAGGATCCAGGTCTAATGCTAATGCTAGTCTCGTATTTGGCAGGGAGAGAACCATTTCGTTCCAAAATTGGCTCACGAGTCGACAAGATTTCAACGGGATTTCGGCATGTTTTAATATTTGCGTCAAAATCTGCATAATTCGATAAATGATTAGAGAGTAGTATACTTAAAAAATGTACACATTACGTCTAAAATTATTGGGCTTACGAGCGGATTACTTAGTGCGATCTGTTCCACAGTTTGTACTTCCGGTTGCGATTCCATTGCTAGAGTCGAAGTTGATGCCATAAATTTCCTGTTTAAAAGTGTTTTTTTAAAGTAATTCAGTAAAAAATTTTTACTAAAAATGCAAAATGTAGGTAGGTACATTTTTTCAAACAAAAAAACAGTGACAAATCGTAGTTAAGAACTATATTCTGCATTATAATTAACTTACCTTCACCTTGAATATCTAAGATCAATATTTTCTCGTACGTCTCAATCTCAAATCAAACAACAGGAAATAAATTTGCACAAGAATTTTTATTATTCTAATTCTTGTCGAGAGCACATGTTGACTATGTGGCGGGCCTCAGCGCCTAGCACCTCAGGCCACAGCACCTAGCGCCTACCTAGTTGGCCACAGCGCCTAGCCCCTAAATAAGTGGGCCACAGCGCCTAACGTTTAAGTAAGTGGGCCACAGCGCCTAACGCCTAAATAAGTGGGCCGTAGCGCCTAGCGCCTACTAAGTAGGCCACAGCGCCTACACTCAGCGCCTGTGGGGTAAATTGAGAAAGTCAGAAATATCAATAGGAGACTGGCAAAATTATAGAAAATGTCATATATAGCTCAAATACGGGGATGATTTTTTTCGGGTAAAGTTAGATGTCTGGGGTAAGCTGAGATTTCTAGTTTCTAGCTAGCTCTCCTAGCTAATTCTTCTAGCTAGCTCTCCTAGCTAGTTCTTCTAGCTAGCTCTCCTAGCTAGTTCTTCTAGCTAGTTCTTCTAGCTAGCTCTCCTAGCTAGTTCTTCTAGCTAGCTCTCCTAGCTAGTTCTTCTAGCTAGCACTCCTAGCTAGCTCTCCTAGCTAGTTCTTCTAGCTAGCTCTCCTAGCTAGTTCTTCTGTTAACTAGGATTGCCAGCTAGGACTGCTAGCTAGGATTGCCAGTTAGGACTGCTAGCTAGGATTGCCAGCTACGACTGCTCGCTAGGATTGCTAGCTAGGACTACATAGCTAGGAGGGCTAGCTAGAATAGGAACGCTTTCAGCGTACCTAGTTTAACTAACCTAACCTGCTCGCTTCGCTCGCTTAACTACGAACAATACCCCAATATGGGGCATAATTACGATAATAGTTGACACACTTTTCCCCAATATTCTAGCAATGCCCAATAAATTTGCCTCTTCGCGGCAAAATAATTTGAGTTCAATATTCTACGACAAAAACTATAAGTGTTATCCTGCCCTAAAGATCTCATGTCACCTCAAAAAATTTCCCGCCGTTAGGGAAAGTGAAACAACTTGGAAGTCTCTGAAACTTCCAAAAATGCATAAAAATCTTGACTTTTTGTGACCTTACATTTGCCGGTCAAAAAATTTATATATTCGTGATCAGCATGAAAAGCCCGACATTTTGGTGTATCACATTCCCCCGGGTCCATTCCCTTGTTTTATACCGATGTTTCTCTGACTATCTCAGTTTACCCCATAGGCGCTGAGTGTAGGCGCTGTGGCCTACTTAGTAGGCGCTAGGCGCTACGGCCCACTTATTTAGGCGTTAGGCGCTGTGGCCCACTTATTTAGGCGCTAGGTGCTGTGGCATGAGGTGCTAGGCGCTGAGGCCAACGTCATATGTTGACTGAATGAATTGAATTTCCCGCGAGAGTTGGACTTGGGTCGTGCACGTGCTCAAAGCCACCATTTGAAATTCTTATTTTTCATTATTTATTTGTATTAATTTAATTGACTAGAAATTGAAAATTAAAAATATATAAATTTTGAAATCTGTTTAACGGTATGTAGTTTATATGAATTAACTTTGTCCCGTTGATTAGACCGACTTTAAGGGCAGTAGCGGAACTATAAATTTGGGGCAAATGTACGTCGGGGCCCCTGTCCCTGACAGATTAGGGACATTTTGTGGTTTTAAGAAGGTAATTTTTCGCCGTATGGTCAAACGACAAAGGTTTACTTAAAATTATATATTATTAAAACCATAACTTCCAAAATTGAGGGTAGAGCTGGCTGGTAGCACAGAGTTCAGATTTTGCAGTAGTTTAATTAATGCTTTTTGAGCTAAATAAGTAAAAAAAATTGTTAATTTTAGAACATGGAAAATTATTAATCAAGACTGGATTTCCGCGCAAAACCTATAGAAAAATACATAGCGAATTTGAGTGGTTTAAATTTACTCCTGTAAATAAAGGAAACCAGTGAATTAAGCCGAGTGGCAATTCCCATTCCCATCTAAGAATTTTTGGAATGGAAATTATAATATAGATATTTGACAGAATTCCTTCACAGAAATTAAATTTGTTTTGATTTTATTATGCCCCTTCTGCAACGCTTGTCCCCAGTTTCCCCAATGTTCGAGAGGGAACAAATTTATACAAATTCCGGGGAATGTCGGGGCCCCAGTTGCGCGGGGGCCCCTAGGTAATGCCTACCCTGCCTACCCTTAGTTCCGCTAGTGATTAAGGGGTGAATACCCCTTTATGGAAATGTCTTGTCCGTCCGTCTGTATCCACGATAACTTTAGAACGGATTCGAATTTCGATATCCGGTTTGCGCCAACGTGTTTCTAATTTTTGGGGACGGGATGAGGTCTAAGATGGACGTTGTAGGTCATTAGGTCACGGCGCCACGGTGATGACGCCAATGGTCAAAGGTGTCGAATTTTTCGTTTCCACCGTTTTAGACGTATTTTTGGATGGGGATCTCAGAAATCGCCATGATTTCGACGTGCGATGACTCCATGACCGTGTGGGAGGTGCCGAATGTCGAAAAATGACTTTTGTCATGTGGGGTGTCTATTCTATTGAAAGGTATTGTCGTGTACGTTTGAAGTACGCGGGTGGGGGTGTCAAAACGGGGGAAAATGAGACGTGGGGTAATGTGAGACAATGACGGGAAAGTCTAGAAAGACGTTGTGGGCGTGCCACAGAGACAATTCAGTGTGTTTACAACAGCATCGTTTCCGATTTGACCTACATGGCTGACAAGGATGATCAAGTTGCCGTCGAAATTGCGGTAGGAAGCTGCAACACCGTGAATAATACCACGTGCCAACGGAATTCTTCTGATTTGAAGAACACCTTTGCTCTAAAAATCATTGGCACGCGAAACACGAAGAAAAACACGATCAACGGCTGTGTTGGGGGGGGCGGTTGACCTCGGGGGTGAGTACAAACCGCTGAATAATGTGCATACCGGGGAAAACATGACACTTTATGGGATGGGTCATAATAACCTAGAGAATTGTACATAAGGCGTACAATACTTCAACAATAATTCGAGTGATTGGGTGTAACTTTACACGTAAGTAAATGAGTGATATAATTAAATCTTGTTTTTATACAAGATACAAATTTAGTATAGTTTTATTTTTTATTTGTTTTCGTGTGATTCGTTGAAGTTAAAAGTTGCGAATAAAAAACATGTAAACGGCTATTTTTTCATTTGTTCCAATTTGTTTAAATAATAAAATGTAAAATTCATCAAATTTTATAAAAAAAAGTTCAAGAGAACATCACAACAAACATTAGGCATCATATTTATCATGTCAGTTAGCAGAAAATGTAAAATATACATTAAGTTTGTACGCATGTATAGTAAGTATGTAAATATTTAAATTATGCATTAAGTATGTATGTACGTATCTAGGGTTGTAAAGAAGTACTTAAAGGTCGCTGGAAATTAAAACTTTTAGCAAAGGAAATTTATAAATTATGCAAATAAATATCGGATTACGTACGACGTAATCGGATTCCTGCTGGTTAATATTAAATAGCAAGCAATTGTTTTTTTCTGCCCAAAACGAAGAAAATAAGGTTTGACATTATTAAAGATAAATTAAGCAGATAATATAAACAATTTACGTGAAAATATTATTATCCCCTTCAGAGGCTATTTTTCTCAATAATATTTATTAACCCCGTCCAGAAATTTAATTATCAAGTAAGTAAATAAATATGCCTACGTTTTATTAACGAGTGGAACGAAGTAAAGCGTATTTATTGCGATCGATTTGTCCGTCTCTCTGTCTGTCAGCACGAAAACTGTTCTGTTTTCGGATGTCGACGTATAATTTTAAACGAAATTGGGAGTTGTTGACAAACACTGTAGGTCAAGAGGTCACGATGATATTGTCAAAAGTACATAAAAAATACCAATTCTTTACGGTTTTAGACTATCCAAATAGTTTGGGGCGGGAACTTCAAAAAATTACGATTATAACTTAAGATCATAAATTACGAGGTCAAAATTCGCAATTCGTCGAAACCAAAAATGACAAAATTTTCTAGAAAAAGATGCACCTCGAGTACGCATCTCCACACACTTTGTGTCTGCAAGTTTATTATATCTGTTGTTTCCTTGGATTATTAATCCTACGCATAAGGTTAATGCTGAATTAACCCGACTCCAAAATATGAAAATTCCAGGACGACCTAATTTTTAATTTTAGTCTTTCCCAAACTTCTTCACACGGAACATTGTCTCTTGAAAAAAAATGTCCCTAGCTCGATACGTTCGTCACCTTCTGGTCCCTCGGGATTGGACGGAATCCTTCACAGAACTCTTGAACGTGGGATATTTCCTGGTTTCGCTGCCCTTCGTGACCACGAAAGAGGGGAATTTGGCCGTGACGAGGAAATCATGGAGGATCACGGTCCTCTGGGGGATGCTGCTAGTTTCGACGATGGATACCTTCTACAGGGCCGTGGTCTGTACAAAGGTCAACTACAAGGAGATGAAGAGCAAGGACATTATGCAAATGTATATCGATCTCTTCTCCAGATCGGGGGCGACAATCGTGTGTTGGGATATATTCGCCAAGATGGAGACGCATGCAAATTTTGTGAACCATATTTTTAGTATGAACGCGAGACTAACTGGTACGTATTTATAATTGGGGGAAGAAATGAGGGTGTAATTATGGATTGTATTTCATAATTATACTCTTTTATTCATTAAAAATTCATAGAAGAAAGGGTTTCAATTTTAAAATGCAAACCATAGGCGGATATGATATGGGATACAATGAGCGTAGTCACGACAACGCTTATTTTATTTCGCATCGTAATTCGCAATTTATTCAGCAGCGAAGTGAAAAATTGTGCTTGGTCATAACATCCATTTGCAAGAAATAGTGGCAAGAAAGTGTTTTTTTGAAGCAATTTTAACCTGCAAGAAATGCATGAAGCTCAATATGTACTTCCCGCCGCTATATCTTCGGTCGTTGCTAGATGGCGTTTGTTTCTAGCATTTCTTACCTTACTGTGCTAAAAAGGCATGTGGCAAACGAAACACTGAATCTTGCTCGATAAGTTCAGGATTACATACTTAAATAAATAAATGGTATCTGTTACTCCCGGGTTTTATGGCCAACCGGACAGAACGCGATTTTGATATGTCACGTTACCATCAACGTGATGTTAATATCGATGCATGACTCAATTCCTCGCGGTCTTCTGGGCATGCTTCTTATCACACTCGTGATGTTCCTCCTCTTTGAAAGAAACTGCATCAAAGCATGCGCAAAAATGTATGAAGAGTCGAAAAAGTTTAAGCGCATAATTGCTGCGAGCGGACATCTGAGACAGAGAAAGGTCGCGAGGTCGCTACGACCGCTGAAAGTCTTTGTCGGATCGTACTACTACTTTAAAATGAGCACTTTTATGACTTATGTTAACACCGTGGTCGATTACACGATTGATTTCCTAATTGCAAATAATTAAGACTGTAGATACATATGTACATATGCGTACTTTATGTCCATTTGCAGCACAGAATAAGTACAAAAATTTCTAAATTTGCATATAAGTATGTACAAATTCAAACTCTCTTAGAATTATTGCTTTCGAAGTAAATCACTAAATTATATAATTAATAAAGTGCAATGCGTAAACTTACTACTTTACAGTTTAGTTTGGACATATGTACTTTGCAACCTTTGTATTCAATTTTGTACGTATCTATGCACATATGTGTCATTCTATTAATAATAAGATTTAAATGTATAATGATAATAAGTAACATATTAAATACAATCTGCCCAAGGAATGACAAATCGGCCATCACCCGCATTCTGGACTTATCAATAAAATTTGTTGCGTTTGACATCTGCGTCATTAGTGAGAATGTTTGCGTATGTAACTAATCTGATCTTTCATCTCGATCTCGTACAAATAGATGTTACTATAATATTGAGTATATTATACATAGTTTTCATTAGTGGGAGAGCATGTTTTTTTACTGTGAACTCGTTAGACCGATCAATAAATCAATCACTTTTCACGGAAAAATACCCACCTGGATTGTATTGACATACATATTGCATAACTTTTATCTTGGAACAATTATGTAGGCATGGTTATGCCGCACTGTTACCGCATTTGGGGTAGATTAGTTACACAAGCGACCTCGATGATCACGCAGGTGTCAGTTATCGGGATGCAATTGATAAATGCAGTGGCTGCGGAAGCATGGGGGACACCGGGTACAATTTCCCCACAAGAATATATATGGATTTCCCCATTCTTGCAGTGTTACATGTTTATGCATTATCTTACGATAAGCACTATTGTCCTCAATGTCCCCATGGTTTCGAAGCCTTTAGATTTTCCATTATAAAACTGCGAGATATGTATGAAACTACGCATTATGTACAGACAGCACAATCATGAATCATCTGGTGACCATCGTTCTCGCACTAGTCGCTCTGGCTTCAGGTACATATTTAACTAAGTCGATAATTATAGATAGATATTTACATAAATTTATTTTTGTCGAGATTTTATTGTTTAAATAATTGAAGTTCCAGCCATACCTAAGAAGCAGACCCAACTAGACGCCTTTACCGGTCTAAACCACGGGAAAATTGTGGGAGGAGTCGAAGCCGACAGGAACGAGTAATAATATTAAGGTTCTTTTGGATGACCCGCCTATTTTTTTGCTTAAAAGTATAGTAAATTTTGTATGCAAAAGTATGCATGGACTTGCAATTATAATTGCAAATAAGTAACCATAGTTACGTATTTCATCCTGGTGGAGTTTTATTCAATAAATTTATGCAGAATAAATTTCAGTTATTTTAAAACTAGCGTATAAGCCCGTCTCCCGCCGGGCGGCAGCTTAATTGATTTTCATCAAAATTGAGTGGGATTGTGCATAACTCCACAGAATTAATTTTTTTATGGTATCTTATATTATTAGCTGGAAATGTCTGTTGTCCAGAATCAAGGGTACTGAAAGTAAATGTTCCGCAATTGACCATTTCACTTTAACTTTACTGTAAATTACAGTGGCCAAGCAATAGATATTATTATTATTATTATTAAGTATTATTAGATAACCACTCAGGATGACCATCCCTAAAGAACCGTCGTCGACCCTGTGCTGTGCGCACAGCACAGCACAGGACACTCATCCCAGTCCTGATGTATCACAATTCGGCGAACCTGTGCTGTTGCCTAATGGTGGTTATCTGGGGGTGGTTATCAGTGGTGATTATCTGGGGGTGGTTATCTGAAGAGAGGGGGGGGGTATCAGCGGGTGATTATCTGGGGGGGTTGTCAAGAGGTAGTTGTCTGGGGGTGATTTCACGCGGTGGTTATCTTTGGGTGGTTATCATGAGGTGGTTATCTGGGCGTGCTTATCAGACAGTGGCAGTGGTGATATGGGGGTGGTTGTCACACGGTGGCCATCTGAGGGTATTTTTAAATTAAGAATTTAATTTGAATTGTCGCGCCATTTTAAACTTAACTTTCTCTACTTTCACTTCCGTCACGGAAAATTACTTTCACTTTCGTTGCAGACAAACATTTCCAGCTTATAATATAGATTCCTAAATTTCATAAAGTTTTCAGGAAAATTTGCATTTAAGGATATTGAAAGGTGAGATGACAACGTGAAACTTTTATATCAAATGAACGCGTCATCCAAGAAAGAAAACCTTATATACATCCCAAAAATAAATGCATATGTACATAAATTGACGAATCATGCTTATTTAAATTTCCCTTCCAGATTTCCCTTTATTGTCGACATTCGCCGGGCATCTCATTCCTGCGCAGGGTCCATTATTAATGCAGAATGGATAGTTACGGCCGCACATTGCGCTTTAGTAAAATAAAACTCACTTAATTCAACGTATTTAAATTATCAAAAAATTGGCTACCAAGTTAACATTGTATAAATTAGCGTGCACCAATCGACTATACATTGGTCGCTGGAGATCACAACATTGACATTGTTGAAGGGACTGAGCAGACCAGACAAGTCGTCGAGATTCGAATTCACCCAAATTACGGAAGGTAGGAAATTAATAAATAGGATTATAATGAAATCTACAGGTGAAAAAACTAGTTTTCGACCTTTTCTGCACTATCCTGCAGAATTTCTGCAGAAGAAAACTACAAAAAACGTAAGGTGTGAGACATTTCCGTCACCTATATAGTAACTCACCATTTGAGCACCATTTAATTATAAGAATTGACTGCCAGATGGCGTTTACATACATAAAAACCAATTTCGTGTAGGTAATTTTTTTGGGGTCGCATTTAATGGCGACCCTAAATGACTGAATGGGATACCCTAAGAACTAAACCCTACGGTGGACTGAATGGCCTACCCTAACAGGTCGAAAATAATAGCTAATAACTGAATCTCGACCCTAAGGTTCTGATAGTTGATTTACACCATTTTTTAGGTAATTGCATCTCGATTATAATTTATTAAGACCATTTCTCAGAATTGATTCTTAAATTAACCAAAAATTCGTCAACAACAAGGGCTCACTTGCATTTCTTTGGGCTCCCTGGTTCAAGTTTAAACCGAAGAGGTACGTTTTTGCAAATATCAGAGATATTGAAATCTCTGCAGATGTATCCTAGTCTGATTAAATGCTCACAAATATGCTGATTTTTAATTATTTGACAATTATATAGAGAAATCAACTAATTTGATTCTTGTCCTTGTGTGAACGGATTACATACACTCTAAATAAAAATAAGTAAAATTTACTCAAGGTTAAAAAGTGGATGACACAACCAAAAGATACAATTTATCCAACCGTTCTAAAAATTGGAATTCCAAAATTTTGTCCAAAGTTATGTACGTAAAATTTGTGCAACGGGTGGGTAAATTGTGTACAACGTTGTCTAATGTTCACCTTTTGGTAGTGTCATCCTCTTTTTACTCAATTTTGAGTAAATTTCATTTATTTTTATTTGGTATGTATAATTTAGTTATTAAAATATATTGGGACCTTAGGGTAAAGTTTAAGATAAATAAACCGTAGTAACGTTAGAAGTAGCTCACCCTGCAATATAAATCAGGATGTACATAATTTTGCACCAATGGTGCCTAATAAATTCACAAAAGAAGTGTAAAACTCTATAATTTGGTTCCAATTGGTGCGTAGTACATCGCGTCCACCAATTATTTCGCATCATTTTGTGTTACCAATTGTTAGACACCAATGGTGCTGTTACCTTATAATAAAATGGATCTGGTACATTTTAATTAGCAGCAATTGATGCAAAAAGGTCGTTAACAGACGGACGGACGGACGGACAAGAGGAATTCAATAGCTCCTGTGCTACGCAGGGTGAGCTAATAAGGATGGTTATTGGCAAGTTAGGGTAGGCCATTCAGTCCAACGTAGGGTTTAGTATTTAGGGTATCCCATTCAGTCATTTAGGGTCGCCATTAATATTTCCCCATTTTTTTGTTCATGACAAAAATTTAATATATAAATGATTTGAAATATGCAGCACGCCAATCCCAAATATGGACGACATTGCCGTCATGAAAGTTACACCTCCGTTTGAGTTCAACGACGTTGTACAGCCAGTCGTCCTCCCAGGGCTTAATTTTGTACCGACCGGTAAGTTCTCAGTAATTAAGGTTCTTCGTGATGCACAGATGGAAATTCGAATTTTTCATCATCCAGTAGAACCCTAATTCATTAAAAGCTTTATTTGCAAGTCTCTAATATTATACTAATTTTTGCAGCCTTTGCCACCGTTATTGGATGGGGTGTTCTTGCCCAGGGTGGTGGCATAGCGTCTTCCGTCCTCATGAAGGTGGATGTCCCGCATGTCAATGATACCGCTTGTAACACCATGTACTCCGGAGATATCACATCTACCATGATCTGTTATGGAGAACCTGGCAAGGACGCGTGTCAAGGGGGTGGGTGTCAATTTTAATTTAAGGTTTCACCTCACCCCATCAACCTAAATAGATAATGTGAATACTTTGTCATCCAGATTCTGGTGGCCCAATTGTCTGCGGAGCGGAGAAGGCACTTTGTGGGATTGTTTCATGGGGACATGGTTGCGCTCAACCAGGGTAAGTATTTTATGGTTCGTTCCGAAGATCCACCAGAGTTTTTTTTAATTTTTCTCAATACCATGCAATATGAAGTCCCAATCTATCGATGTGCTAAATTTTGGTGAATCACAACTCTGCAATTGAAATTTATTGATAGCCATTTTACGCTGGTGTTTCAAATTTGGTCCACGCTTCTAAATGCGTAATTAATTGCAACATTAAAATCAGGCGCCGACCAATTTTGGGGTGGGCGCTAATTTTGGAGATTAATCAGCGGCATGGAAATTGCGTCAGATCGCCGGCAAAGACCTCTGATTTGAATTTATACATATTTACATAAATGTTTTTACTACCTACGCATAGATTCCCAGGAGTCTACACAGAAACCTCCTGGTACGGGGAATGGATACGAACTGCCATCACCCCCACTGCAGAAGATCCCGAACCCGTTGTCGAAGGTATGTAAATTCGACACGCCATAAATTGGCAAAATCCTTAGATCCCCAAAGTTTCTCCATACGCACCTCGGTATTAAATATCCCTAAACTGTCTCATCCTGCCCCCTCTTCTATCTATAGTCACCACCTGCGGCGGCCGTATCGATGCATCCTCTGCCTCTATCAAGTTCAACTTCGGATCCCCCATACTTTACCGACAAAGGTGCGTCTGGACGATTAACACGCCCTTCAACTCTTTACGGATTAGCCTCCAAGAGTCCGGCCTTTTCTGGGACGACAAGATCTACGTCACCCAATACTCCGCGGCCGGACCAGGCTTATAATTTGACCTTAACACGGTCGGAGAAGACTTTACCATCGAAGGTGGCCTGTACCTCATCACTTTCATTGCTGGACCCACATTTGGCGCCAACGGGTTCGCCATTACCTACTTTTCCTCTGGATTTGCCGCCTCAACCCCCGCCTTGACCGGGTTTGCCAGCATGTCCAACTCCACGGGGAGGTACTCTTACCCAGAAAATGGTGGCCAATACACAAACAGAGAAAACGCTCTGGTCGTCGTTAACCCCACCCAGCCTGCCGACCGAACCCTAGCCTTCACCAGGATGGATGTCGAGAACGGTTCGTCATGCTATATGGACGGAGTAACCGTGTTCGACTGGAGTAACGCTATGTACACTCCACGAGCCAGGTGAGTACGAAGGGAGAATTTGGTGGGGAATTTCTGAAACTTTCCTAAATTTCCTGCCCTGTAAGAAACCACCCAAAGTTATGTACAAGAAATGTTAGAAATGGATGCCACCTAGCGGCTCACCCTTTGCACTATCTACATTTAATTATAGCAATTGTCCGCTAGATACCGCTTATTTCCTGCATAATTTCATTCATGTAAGAACTTATGCATGCAAAATAACAATTTCATGCAGGTGTTTTTTATGGCAAATACAAAGACTGATAAATAAATAAGTTTATTAATCCCAAAAATTCATGGATTTACATTAAATATTTTTAATTTTAAACCAGATTTTGTGGAACAGAGGTTCCATCCCCAATTCAAATTCAGGGAGGTGTTTGCCTCGTCACATTTACCACGGATCACAGCGTAACCAGGGATGGATTCAGCTTCGTCTGGGCTTAAGTGTGTTTCGTCGAAAGTTTTAAATTCTCTTATTTTTAGCTCTTTTTTCTAATATTCTTCTCTTGTAAATACGATTCGGTATCGTATATTTAGTGATACATAAGTACATGTGTAAATTAAAATTGACTTCATTCCAGCTGAAATTTAATAATTGCGTGTCACTCATTATCAAGCATGTATGTATGCCGTATGTATGTAATTTGCATGTATGTAATTTGCATACATGAACAAACTCATAATGACGTGTATATCAACACAGGTATTCGCGACGCGTTGGAATCATTACCAATGAAACAGGTATAAAAAAATGTTTGCACAAATTTTCTCTTAAAATTCTCGGCCAGTAAGTAAGCATTTACTCGACAAATAATCTTTGAAGTTTCAAGAAATACATGAAAATGCGAATTTGGAAAATACAAGTTTCCCATTTTCAAAATTTTATTTTACTTTGCTAATGCATATAAATATGTATGTAGGTAGATATGCATATCAGATGAGCAGTATTTATCAATTAATAAGCATTTAAGACAATCAACACTATTTTTAAATAATAGCAATATTTTTTTTTAATCAATATTTTTCGATTAACAAGTATTTAACGTAAGAAATCGGATCACTGTCTAAATCCGAAAAGCTTCGGCCAGGACCAAGTCCCCGGTTTATTCATGTCTCCTTGAAACGTTCCCACGAGAACTTTGGGTTTGCCTCCCTTCGTTCCCCCGTAGGAAGGGGGCAGTTGTTCTGGGTCGACCAAATCCAAGAGGATGGGTTTCCACTCCTTCTCATCTCCGTAGTTGTCAAAGATGTCGTTCGTTTCTTGCGACAATAAGGGACGCATGGCAGACATGGCCGGGGAAAAGAGAGACGGAGCTATATATAAAAAAAGAAGCGAAAATTTAAAAAAATCTAACAATTTTTAAATTTATGTAACACCAATTTTCTTACAATTTATAAACACGACTCTGGAACTGGCGCCGGGATGTTGTTTCTCATAAGTGTTAGCGGAATGCCAGTAACACCGGGCGACTGAAATTGCATAAAATATTTTAATAAAAAGCTGGGAATATAAAATGTTTTGGGACTTTTTTTGGAGAACATAAATTTCAAACATTATCGACAGTTTTTTTGGCAACTGCAATCCAAAATTTTAGGACGAACGAAATGCGTACATTGCTTGAAACGGACGAAAACGTGTATTTTTTAATATCAAATTTTGAGTGTTAACTATTTTTTCCAAATTTTTAAAATTGCAATTTTCGAATTGACTCACTTGCAAAACTAACGGTAGCTTTGTTATCTTGATTCATGAGCCAGGTGAATTGAGTAATATTTTTTCCCTGATGTTGCAAATCGAGCACTTTTTGTTCCGCTTCTTCCAACATGCGGTCATAGTAGCGGAGAACCCGGTCAATCTCACCACGCTCAGCCGCACGGTCCAAGTCCCACTCGCCAAAGTCCGTGATCAAAACTGGAGCACGATTTTTAGATTTTTTATTTAATTTTGGGTGTCATTTATGCATGCGTAACTATTTTTCCAAGGTTATCACTCACGTGGTCGCCCTTGTTTGTCATAACCGTCCAACTTGTAGGGATAATCTTTCTTCATATCGGAAAAGTCCTCGGTTAAAATGGATCTCATTCTGTTATCGTCGCGCCATGAGAGATGCTATTTTTTAGAAAATACGTAATTTTTTTAGTAAGAAAATTTAGGAAAGCTTTAGTTTGGCATGAATTTAGTTTTTGAAAAGCTTCTGTATTTACTCGAAGTTTTCGAAATAAACCTGGCTAAATTTCTGACAAAATTCGAATATCTTGCATAAAAAATTGTCAACTGTTGTTAAACTGTTGTTAAACTTGGCAAATTAGTTTTTAAACTTTGGTTAAACTATGGTTAATTTTTGAGTATCCTGACTACGCTAATTAATTACTTAACATACATAAAAAACTGCATTATTAATTTTGGAATATTTTTCCTACCGCAAGAAAATATAGCTCGGCATCGTCTACATTAAAATTTTTGGCTGAAAATTTTTAAAAAGACTAAAATTACGAATAGTCAATCAAGAATAATATAAGCAACTTTACGGATGAAATTTACCTCGAAGAAATTTCAAAATGTACAACTCATCCTTGACCCAGTCCTCCTTAATTTTGGGCAGAACTCTTCTCATCAGCTATCAATTAAAGAGTTAATAATTAGGATGACAAATATGTAATCAGAAATTATCTAATTATCTAAAATTAACTAAATCTGCAAATACCTCATCTAATGCGGCCCTTTGCTCTCCAGTTAACCTGGTATGATCCTCGGTGCGTAGTTTTGTAGAAGTTACCATGGCAACGGTTGCCAGGCAGGATAATAGAACGATTGTCTTGAACATCTTATTATTCTCGGGTTTCAGAGAGTACTGAATTATTGGAGATTTTGCTCCCTGATTTTATAGGAGGCCGGAGGTAGATAAGTACATAGGTAAGTCTGCCGACAAATTAGCATATTTAATTTAGCGATAAACTCGTTGATTTGTCAGTGATCGGGAGTGACGTGAATTAATTTTTTTGTTGCAGGTCTGGTTAATAAAATTAATGTCATGTCTACAAACTCGAGTACTTGATTAATTTAATTAATTAGTTAACCCGTTTGATTGACATCTTCGTAACCGCACCGTCCAAGTAAACAGGACGGTAAGGGGCCGTCCATAGATTAGGTAGCGCAAAAATCGCGATTTTCTAGACCCCCCTTTAGAATGTGTATCATATGCACGATAATATCGTGACGATATCATTGGAGCCTGAGACCCCTCCCCACCTCCTCTGGTGTTACATAATTTACGAACGACCCCACCCTGTTAGTTGCATGGAAAACTGGATATTTATATAAAATGCGATGTGTTAACAACAACAAAAATTGCAATTCTGCCCCAACAAAAATCGGGTAGACATGCATAGGTACAGACGTATGTATGTACATGCATACATAATTACGAGTAAAACTTGGAATTTGAAATTTTTACCCGAGGTCTGGACAACTTTATCGATGAAATTTATTTTTTATGTAATCTTACACTAGTAAACAAGCAGTGAAACATGTACTTGTGGAGGAAAAGGTTTGCGAATTAGTAGGACATATGTAAATATGTATGTGTTCTGACATAGCTAATTTGCATACATAATTTTGGAGAATAATTTATTCATTAAGTGGACTACTGTTGAAATACCATTAAATAACGTCTGTAAATATGTACTGATTCGTAGGTATATGTATATAAAGGGTGTTAATAAAGTCCGATCCCATTTTTCCTATAAAAAAGTGAAGGCTAGTATAAAAAAAACTACCCGTGATACTTACAAAAAATGTTCGACATATTTACCTTAGTATTTGGTCTTGTCACCATTTACTTTAATCATGCCCTCAACTCTTTGTTTAAGGCTCTGTGCTAATTTTTCCAATGTGTCTGTGGGAATCGAATTCCATACATCTTGAACTTTTTTTACTAGCTCTTCCCTCGTCCGGGGTTGTGGCTCTTTGTATATATTTACCTTAAGTATGGACCACAGGTTCTCCAGGGGATTCAAATCTTGGCTGTTTCCGGGCCACACCCCCTTGCTCCAGACCGTTGAAACTTGCGTCTTGATGAGACTCAAACTCGCTTTTGCTGTATGGGCTATAGCACCATCCTGCATGAAAACTATTTTTCTTTCATTCGGAAATATTTCCTTGTTCCCCATGCTATCGAAATAGATAGGTAATATTTTTTCCATATAATACTTTGCATTGACTGTGTGGCCTTTTGGTATGATATGTAGAGGAGTCACGCCACGTGCACAAAATCCACCCGCTACCATAATTTTAAGCCCGAATTTTGGGACTGCTCTTGATGGTACATCCGATTTGTTTTCTGTCCTGTAACGAACATTTTGTTGGTTCAATTTTGGATATAGCTCAATAATAGATTCGTCAGTCCAAAGGATGTGACTGCGCAATTCTTCACCAAGTCTTTTTTCACTCAAATGGCCACTTTTCTGAAGGAGTTCTCCAAATTTCAGACGGTCATCGATATTTTTTTGTGACATGAGAGGTTTTTTGGTTAGTTTGTAAGCTGTGTGACCCCACCTCGTAGATTTCACAAATTTTTGCACGGTCACATAGTTAATTTGCTTCTTCTTCTCTTTATAGCGTTTTGAGTCATTTAACTCCCTTGCACAATTACGTAATGAACTACCGGTTTTCTTGTAAAGTCTGTTTTTAATCATTCTTTTTGTGGTAGGTGACACCTTTCTGGGTCGCCCGGGTCGCTTTTTGTCGTGGACAAAATTGTGTTCTTCCATTTCCAAACAGTTCTGCGGCTGCAGCCCAATTTTTGCACAATTTCTGCAGGTTTAAACCCCTGCTGATGCAATGTTTGTATCTTAACTCTAAGATGCTCATGACTTACACGTTTAGTTGTTCCTCCCATGGTAAAAATTTGAAATAAATAACTTCACTGGTTCAAAAGTTCCAGCTGAATTTGTAACAACCGCGCTCCAAAAAATTAATGGGATCGGACTTTATTAACACCCTTTACATATGTATATACATACATACATGCTTTATGGAAAACCACGTATTTACCTAATTAAAATAAATCGAGATGCAATTTTTCTAAATATTTCTAGGTACATATGTATGTATGTTAGTACTTGAGGACAACCATAGGTTATACATTTAAGTACTTCGACAACTCAATTACTTTTAATGAGAAACATATCAAGGAATGTGTGCGACAGTGGAAAATATTTCATAAATGACGCAATAACCAAGTATGTACGAGCATATACTAATTTTGTTGGGTAAAAGTGACCCGGAAGTCCTGACTTAAAGCCATATGACTCGTATATGTACATAACTTCATATTTATGTGAACACTGTAAATCTAGGGCTGATATCGATATATCAAAGGCATAAATTATAGTTATTGTAGTCATAGTCAGAATTATGACACGTGGTCAGAAGTGACGAAAACGTTAACAAATTTGATAGTTTGAAATTTTAGATACTTACAACGCGTTGCCATGCTGACAAATAAATCGGCAGTCACGAAATTCCAGTGGACCAAATTTGTCATAATTTATATCTTCTAAATTTTTACAAATGAGAGAATACATGTTCCGAGTTACTGACACGCCGTTACAATATGCACATTGATACATTTGATGCTGCATGCCAGAAGATAAGGTTGATATGCAAATGATCTTCCATTTAGACCTGTTCCACCATACCCGATTATTACACATGTAGAAAAGTAGAAACATTCGCAAATTGTATTTACTCCGCCAACTACTTGCCACGTTACATATTTATAAATAACAAAATGTAAAAAATAAATTTAGATAAACATTTAATTTTAGAAATTAAACTTTTTAGTGTTCCTCCACAAAAGCCTCACGGATATGTCCTACGAAATATGATACATTAATTATCAGTGCGATTAGTTTAATGTTTTTGGTATGTATGTACAAATGTAATTATATATACATACTTGCAGTCATTTTGTAGCCTGCTGCGTCCAAAAGTTCTGCCAGGTTTTCCACCGTCCTATCATTGGCGATCCAGCCTACCAAAATTTCCTTGAAAACTCCACTGTACGTCATGTTCCCACTATTAATGCCTCTCCTCCAAGAAAGTTTATCAGAATTCGAAGCAGCCAAAAGGTCGCAGAAGTCCTCCCAATTCTTCAACAGGTGCATGTCTTTGTCAATGATGTTGATTAATTTGGGAACGTCGGTGCCTTTGAGGAGGATTTGTGCTGTGGAGATGGAAGACGCCATGTATTTGTATATGTATGTATCTGCTGCCTGAAAAGTGGTGGCGAGACTGGAGGGGTTGACACATACGTATGACGGATGACCATTTCCTCACTCATCTGGGCGTACATATTTTATTCCGTGGATTAAATAAATACAGATAAGGAAACAGTTCGTTCACTCTGGTCTGGGTGACATCAAGCCGACGTGCATGATAAACTATTGGCTTGTTGAGCAAGTTGATCAAATGTTAGCGCAGGACTTGATGCTCACCACGAAAATTATAACCACATTTTGAATCATTTCTCAGCTTTGGAAATCTACATATATTGAAGTTTTGTACAAATTTGTATGTAATTGGTCAATTACAAATGATTTCATTCAATTTTCACCTCTTCCCACAGTTTTTGATTAGTAAGCACCTACCTTCCTTTTTACATACATATGTATTATTACTGATGGATGTAATAATACATCCATCAGTATGTACAGGATCGCAGTCCAAGACGTGATGAATAAACATGCATGGAGTATGTTTAATCGTTATGCATGTATATACAAAGATTTTTTAAATTGTGGAAATAAGCATATTGATTTTTAGCCCTAGTCAGGGCTTATGGAACCATCATGTCCGTCCGTCCGTCCGTCCGTCCGTCCGTCCGTCTGTCCGTCTTACGATAACTCTCGTTAAACTCATCCTATCGACTTGAAATTTGGTACACATGTAGTATGGGGCAAATGAGGAGTTAAGTTCGAAGATGGGCGAAATCGGTCAAGTGGTTGACCAGTGGGGGTCATATAGGTGGGTGGGGTATTATGCATCAAAATTTCAAAATCGTCATAGAAGGCAGAAATTCGACACTGAGGTTGCTAATGATGTCTAGTGAAAGAGTATGAATTCAAGTTGGAAAAAATTTCATTTTGAAAGACCCGAGGGGGTGATCCATACTGATTTGTCAAAATCGTCATATCGAGTTGAAATTTGGCAGATAGATTGCGTATGGGGTTTAAGGAAGAACATGAAATGAAATTGGTCAAATTTTTTATCTGGAGGGACCCGAGAGGGTGACCCATACCGATTTTTGAAAACCATTTAATTGAGCTGAAATTTGCCATTGCCGTTTCTAATAGCTCCTAATGGAATAATATGAAGTGAAATTAGTGAAATTTTTATGTGGAGCGACCCTAGGGGGTGGCCCCTACCGATTTTTATAAATTGTCTTAAAAAGATGAAATTCGGTACGGTGATACTTAATGGTTTCGTATGGAAGTACTGTTGTTAAGTATATCTGTGGTGCCACGTCGACCGCTTTGGATCATCCATAAAAAGGTCTAACACATAGCGCGTCACAAAAAGAAATTCAAACTTTGCCAGAATTTAGAAAATATTAATAGAAAATTATTTTTCCTATAAAATTTTTCGATATCTGACCTCTGTGACCTGTTTTTTAGGGTGAAACTCATTAATTTGAAATACGTTTGTTTGTCTGCGTGCACAATAAGTGGATAAGGATTTTAATCGAATTTAGCGAGAGATCGGGTTTAATCTGCTGGGAATTGAAAGTTGACATTGTGTAAAATATTTCTGCCATTTTTTTGAAATTTTAACACAACAAACAATGCAGAAAAGTAGGGATTTCGGTGGAACTAGATTTCGGGCTGGCGGAGGAAACAAGGCGATTCGGTTGGGAGCGCGGAGGACTACACTAAATATTATTTTACACCACTTTATTTTTATTTTGACGTACAACTTATACAAATTCGTGTCTGAAATTTAGGAAATTGAATAATTTGTACGTCAAAATAAAAATAAAGTGGTGTAAAATAATATTTAGTGTAGTCCTCCGCGCTCCCAACCGAATCGCCTTGTTTCCTCCGCCAGCCCGAAATCTAGTTCCACCGAAATCCCTACTTTTCTGCATTGTTTGTTGTGTTAAAATTTCAAAAAAATGGCAGAAATATTTTACACAATGTCAACTTTCAATTCCCAGCAGATTAAACCCGATCTCTCGCTAAATTCGATTAAAATCCTTATCCACTTATTGTGCACGCAGACAAACAAACGTATTTCAAATTAATGAGTTTCACCCCTAAAAAACAGGTCACAGAGGTCAGATATCGAAAAATTTTATAGGAAAAATAATTTTCTATTAATATTTTCTAAATTCTGGCAAAGTTTGAATTCCTTTTTGTGACGCGCTATGTGTTAGACCTTTTTATGGATGATCCAAAGCGGTCGACGTGGCACCACAGATATACTTAACAACAGTATATGAAGTTAAAAGCGAACAAAGTGGAACCAGAGTAACCTAGAGGGTGACCCATACCGTTTCTAAAAGTCGATATTTTAAAAATTCGTAGCTGAAATTCAGGAAATTGGTCATACTTGAATTGGCGAGATGAGAAGAAATAAAATTAAAGTGAAAGTTATTCATTGCGTTTTTTATACAGTTCAAAAAGGCACGCAAAAAGGCAAAAAGGCATGAACAAATAGCAAAAAGACTGACTTTTTGCACACACTGGTCACCCCCACTGGTTTAGAGAACGGACGTAGACGACTAAAAGTTGGCGTGATCCTGCAGGGTTAGATCAGCTTAATAAATGTGAAGTAAATTTTAAAGTTTTTTTTTCAGGAGGACCCAGTGGGGTTTTTGGAATTGGTTAAAGAAGCTGCAATTTTGTAGCGACTATTGCGAATCATTCGCAATCATCAAAAATTTTCCCATAATACCAACTATTAGTAGTTGGTACCGATCACTTGACAAACAGTTAGAAGTGGACTCTGTCCCTGTCTCGGGCTATATAAACACTGCACACTGTAGGTTTTACATATAGAATTCCATAGAGCATGACTACACAAGTTGCAAACAATATGCAAAGGCTCGGTGAAGTGTGTTAATATGGCTTATCTGCGGAGATAAGCATCGTTTCAAAATTAGTCATTCCATCACAATTTTATAGGTCACGTATGGATTTTGTAAAAGTACGTACAATTTAAAATATGTGTAATATCATGATTTTAACATGAAAGCTGTGTTTTTTTGTAGCTGTATAAATGATTTGGATTGCGTCAAAGATTATTGTTTCGCAATATTTAAAATATTTATGTACAATTTTCGCAAGATCAGTGAATTTGAAGTTATTCACGTACACACGAAGATATGTACATACCTACACATTTATATTCTCTATCTCGTACAAGCATGGTTTTTATGTATCTATATCACTCATATAGTCAAAATAAAACCAGGTTTTGTTGAGCTTCTCCAAAATAGATAACTACAGATTTATGTAGCTTAGCATATGTTCGTGCAAATTAATTTTCTACAAAAAAATCATTCGCAAATTACGGTTAAAAAGTGCATTGTTCCCATCCAATTCGAGGTTTACGGCAGAAATCGTGCGGTTTAAGGTACATACAAACAAATCAAGATGCAAAACTACTTATGTACAGATCAATGAGTACATTGAATTTTACGTGGTAACAGTGGATTATTATACATTCAGAAGGAGACGATAAAAAGAAGTACTTACCTACATAAAAATAAGCTAATACGAGCAAGCCAGACAAACGTGTGAAAAGGAAATATACATTTGTTCTGGTGGAACGTAATCTTTAAAGTTGACGATATTTTGAACCCAGCATACACTCTTAAAAAATCAATAACCGTTGGTATTGATACGTGACTCTACCGCGTGGTATTGATCCGGTATTGAGTTAATACTACGTGGTAAAAAATTTAATACAAATTAGTATTAAAATTATTACCATGAGGTATAATTTCAGTACCTGTTTTATACCACTATGCTATAACCGTTTAATACCAAGGCGGTAGAGTCACGTATCAATACCGTTAGGTTTTTTTCAATACCAAGTTTCTAAGAGTGTACATATGACACACCCCTCATTGGCTCCAATTACATGTTTATGAGAATCTGTGACTCACAGACTGTGAGTATCTGATATTTTATACACCCACTATCCGAAAATTTTTACTTATTGTATGCAATAAAATATCTAAAATCTTACAATTAAATCATTTGAGAGTAATAAGATTCTTTCTTATTATTTCACTAATCTATTTACGCAGTGGCAGGTTTTTAGTTGCCGATTTATACCTTAATCAAAGAATCAAAGAATTTTCTTTCTAATCTTACAGACTGACGATCTACCGGACTAAGGCGAAAATATGAGTGGAAGATCAAAGAAATCAAAAGCTACTGCCACCACCAAGGAAATTTCATCGAAGCCGGAACAAAGCAAGTCAACTAATATCACCAATGCACCAAAACAAGCAGGGCCAAACAGTGGGAAAAAACAACCAACTGTAAATGCACAAAATCAGGGAACCAGTGCCAACAAACAAAATCAGGCCATTATCAAAACTCCACAAAAGCAAGCATCATCTAGCAATGAACAAAATCAGGCAAGTACCAGCAATCCACAAAAGCAAGAGACCAGTCCAAACAAACAAAATACGGAGACCACCAGCAAACCACCAAAACAACCAAATGCTACAAATAAACAAAATCAGCCAAATACTGGAAATACACAAAAACAAGCAACAAATATCAATTCACAAAAACAGGCAGCAACTAACAATTCACAAAAGCAGGCTGCCATAATAAATGCACAAAAACAGAAAATTGAAACTAATGCACAAAAACAGGCAGCCATAATCAATGCACAAAAACAGAAAGCTTCAACATCAATCAATTCCCCAAGTCAGAAAAGTGCCACCAACCCATTAAATCCTGCCCCAGTCGATAAGACAATTCCAAACAAAAATTCAGGCAACCAAGCACCAAGTAGCACAAGTAGACCAGAAAAAAAGGTGACGAACAATATAATTTATTACACGGACAAAAAGGCGCAACTTGGTAAGGGTGGTTCATCCACCGTATATGAAGGCTACTTCGAAGTACCTACTCGAAAAGCAGCAGTAAAAGTTTGCGACATTTCCTATGTCACCTACTCCGCAAAGAGCAAGGAATTAGAAACCTTGAGGAAATTGGCAAATAATTGCCCAAATATTGTAGGCTACTTCGCTACGGAGGACATTTCCGACAAAAGCTATATTGTCATGGAACTCGCAAAATTCACGTTAGAACATGCCATTCTAAACGAAAAAACCACCACAGACATGCTGCAGCAATGGTGTACAAATGCAACAAATGGGCTAATGGCCATGCATGCCGAAAACATTTTACATCGCGACATAAAACCAGCCAACATACTCATTTTTGAGAACAATATTGCAAAATTAGCAGACTTTGGGATAAGTAGAGTTATACAATCGGACACAAAAGGTGCACCCACCGATGCGGTGCTAGGAACTGGAATTTGGATGCCACCCGAAGCTTTAAGGGTTTTTGAAACAGATCAAAAATTTGTGCTGTTCAAAAATTTTGACATTTTTTCCCTTGGGCTCACAATCTTCTTCACAATGACAAAGGGTCGGCACCTCTTTTCGGCCGGAAATGATGGCCCCGTCAAGATCATTAGTAACATCATAAATTACACACCAAACTGGCCAACGGAAATTAAGTGCACCTCACTATGCAACTTATTGAAAGCCATGGTCAATAAAAAACCTAAGTTACGACCGGATGCTTCGGTTGCTTTAGAACATCCATTCTTCTGGGATAACAAAAAAAGAATCGATTTTTTATGGGCAGTCACGTCCGACCTGAAAAATGCCACCAAGGCGATGGACGCTAGCACATGTAAGACAGAAATAACTCAGACGCACGACAGGTTTTGCAATTCGTCTCGAACCGACAAAAACTGGAGGTTAAGATTGTGTCAAGACATGCAAGATTTTATGACTTGGAAGGATAAAAATAGGGCCGATAAGAGTAAATTGCCTTTAGAAAACAAAAAGTATGGGAATTCACTTCTTAAGTTGGTGGAGTTTATTAGGGATTATAGAGAGCATTATAAAGATTGGAATGAAACGTATGAAAACGGAAAGTTGAAGATGGAGAAAGTATTTGGAGCAGATGGAGCAAAATATGTGGAGTATTTTTTAACCAAATTTCCAGAAATGGTCACCATTCTATATACTATATTTCAAGATGAGAAATATCGAGGTGTACATCTTAAACCATTTTATGCTTTGAACAAGGCTTGCTTTGAAAAATGGTAAAGTTATTATGCATACACACATAGATATTCGTGATCAATAATCAAGACACAATATGTACAATGTAGACGAATAGACCAATAAATAATGTACATCAATGGGGAATTCACGACAACGTCTTATTTCTCATCGCAACTCATTTAGAAAACTTGGGAAGATCAAAATATTTCTGTCGTGAGGGGATTCCTAAAATATGACTTCGCAAATCTCGCACACCTACTGAAAATGCCTATTTTGATATTGTTTCATGTATTTCTGTAATTTCTGTAACACTAGTAAACCTCGAGTCGAGGTTTCGCACAGAATATAGATTCCCCCAGAAGAATCGATCTTATGTATTCGTGTGCCGCTTATGGAGGAATGGGAGAGCCAACCAATTAACAACTTCTATGTACATTTGGCGCACCTCCGGAGGTCACAGTGAGTTATTTCGAAAAAAATGCGAATCAATTATTTTAAGGTCTAAAATGGACCTATGTGGGTGGGGGAACATAAAAATAGGGGTTATTGTGGTTTTTGAAAGGGGGTGTGGTGTTTGGGGGGGTTTTATGAAATTTCAAAAAAGTCTCAAATTCCCCCTAAGACCACACCCACTTTGAAGAGAACTTAATGCTGATTAAGAAAAGCTATTATACATGCCCCTAGCTCCTATCATTCTCCCGGGAAAAAATAAAACGTGGCGAAGAAACGGGATTTTTGTTCAAAACGACAATTTCGACAATTTCAAATGGCTGGCAAATTTTTAAATCGAAAAAGTAGCAGCCAATGACCTATACGTCGTAAACTACCCTCATATGTGTATCTAATGACGCAACGTTTGAAACATTGGGGGGCGTAACTTTTTGGAAAACATCAGGCCAAGTTGGGTGAAATCCAGGTTGGCGAAAATGAAAAAAAATGTTTACATGAAAAGGGGCAAAGTGAGAAAAAGTCTTAGAATTGTCTGAAACGTAAAAATCCAAGAAATCTCACATTGCCCCAAACGTGGGATAATGTGAGATTTTTGGGGGCAATATGAGATTTCTTGGATTTTTACGTTTCAGACAATTCTAAGACTTTTTCTCACTTTGCCCCTTTTCATGTAAACATTTTTTTTCATTTTCGCCAACCTGGATTTCACCCAACTTGGCCTGATGTTTTCCAAAAAGTTACGCCCCCCAATGTTTCAAACGTTGCGTCATTAGATACACATATGAGGGTAGTTTACGACGTATAGGTCATTGGCTGCTACTTTTTCGATTTAAAAATTTGCCAGCCATTTGAAATTGTCGAAATTGTCGTTTTGAACAAAAATCCCGTTTCTTCGCCACGTTTTATTTTTTCCCGGGAGAATGATAGGAGCTAGGGGCATGTATAATAGCTTTTCTTAATCAGCATTAAGTTCTCTTCAAAGTGGGTGTGGTCTTAGGGGGAATTTGAGACTTTTTTGAAATTTCATAAAAACCCCCCCAAACACCACACCCCCTTTCAAAAACCACAATAACCCCTATTTTTATGTTCCCCCACCCACATAGGTCCATTTTAGACCTTAAAATAATTGATTCGCATTTTTTTCGAAATAACTCACTGTGGAAGTGGGCCAAATGCATCATCATCATCGCCACATATTCTGGCATCAAACATGACGTTGGAATCACATAGATGGCGGCTGCACCCCTATTTGACACCATCGCAGAGCATCAAATTTGGGAGACGCGACTCAGAAATTGGAGAGAGTATGCTCTGCGATAACGCTGGGACCATGAGATTTTTGGGGTCAAAGTTTCTGAGAGAGAGTCTTATACGGCAGTGCCGTAACAAACGAGGGCTAATGATATACCAAGATTTAAGTTTTTTGTGTTTTGATAAGCCAACAACCCAGTATAGATAATTAAATGAGACGCATGATTGAGTGAGCGCGACAAAGTGCGACGGATACGACACTGACGCGCGATGGTGCTGGATACCCACTAGAACCCGAGTTTAACACTTTCTTTCGCGAAATATGGAAAATGCTTTTATGGAAGACTTGGTCTGGTTTTCCTCTATAGGCAGTTTTGACAGTCGTAAGTACTTGATTGAGTGGGTATTATGCATTTCAGAGCATGCATCATACGTATTCTTTCCACGTTATATAACATGGGGAAAATACATATATACGTCACCAAGGAGGGTCTGGTCAAAGTTGATGGTTCATGCTAAATGCAGGAGTCCTGAATTTAGCAACACAACACGATTTAAGGGTCCTGCAGCAGGACCCTTAAATCGTGTTGTGAACGAGTTATCTGTGAACGAATTAAGCCAGGTAAATTAATAGCTCCAGTGTAATAAGAATTATTACTATATAAATTGTACAATAATTTATTCAACTCTGTAACTGTTATAAAAATAAAGGTGCAACAATTGATTATTAATTACAGGATGGAATATGAAAATATATACATATATAAGTTGTAAATGCATGCAACTTATAATGCTTAGTGTGGCTTAACGCAAAGTGAAGTTATGTATCTCACGCAAATTGAGATCATTAATTCAAACTAAACCAGAAATATATTTATTGTAACATAGATTACATTTTTTACAAACAATGCCGCTTTACATTTTACTGGAATAAATGTTTTGCTATTATTCCACGCTAATTTCTGTTACCATAACCCATGCCCCCAAATTTATGAAATTCGCTCGAACCCCAGTAATATTTTGTCTGATATCGAAACACAGCACTGCACAAGGTGACACACCACAGCTTTCACGGGTTACGACTTTCACCTCTGATTGCCAGATTTTCTGGTAATCTCGAATTTGCAGGGAGACATTTTCCGGAAGTTCAATCCCCCAGCTCCACTCAAATTCTGTCATCCATACCCGGACACATTGGACTAATTTAGCTTTCACCCAAACAACCTGCACATGTCCGTCATTTTGGCCTGGACTGATTCCCACTACACCTGTTGGAACATAAATAAATAAATATCTCATCAGTCTAATAATATAAGAGCAGGGTTTGATTTTTTTTGCGCGTTCCACATTTTTTTTACTAAAGTTTTGAAATTGAGAGACACATGCAAGGTGCAATAATTACAAGAAATTTGCTCCACCTAGCAGCTCAAATTTCAAACAATTTGAAAAATTGTCCGCTAGATGGCGTTTTTTGCATTTATTGCACTCATGCAAAGCAATTCTGCCGGCAAAAATAGAAAAGTTGCGTTCATTTCTGCGATAACTAGTCTCTTAAGCCCGCAATGCGGGCTCTAAGCAAAACAATTTTATTTAGTTTAGCGATACAAATTCCTGCTGAATAATTGTTACACATTTATCTTCACACAGAGCAAAGAAGCGTTGACTTGATTGTCACGTTTTATAGCACGATCTTTAATAATAGAGTTCACAACTCTATTGGTGCGACAACGAAAAACGTGCTGTCAGGACTCTAAACGGTGTGACCACGAAAAACGTTCAGTCACAACTCTAAACGGTCTGACCACGAAAAACGTTCAGTCACGACTCTAAACGGTGTGACCACGAAAAACGTTCAGTCACAACTCTAAACGGTCTGATCACGAAAAACGTTCAGTCACAACTCTAAACGGTCTGACCACGAAAAATGTTCAGTCATGACTCTAAAGGGTGTGACCACGAAAAACGTTCAGCAACAACTCTAAAAGGGTGTGACCACGAAAAACGTTAGGTCACAACTCTATGGGTGTGACCACCAAATTTGTTCAGTTACTACTCCGAAGTGTGTGACAACAAAAAACGTTCAGTCACGACTCTAAAGGGGGTGACCACGAATAACGTTAGGTCACTACTCTAAAGAGGTTGACCACGAAAAACGTTCAGTCGCAACTCTAAACGGTCTGACCACGAAAAACGTTTAGCCACGACTCTAAAGGGTGTGACCACGAAAAACGTTCAGTCACAACTCTAAAGGGTGTGACCACGAAAAACATTCTGTCGCGACCCTAAAGGGGGTGACAACGAAAAACGTTCAGTCACGATTCTAAACGGTGTGACCACGAAAAACGTTCAGTCGCAACTCTAAAGGGTGTGACCACGAAAAACGTTTTGTCGCGACTCTATAGGGGGTGACCACGAAAAACGTTAGGTCACAACTCTATGGGTGTGACCACCAAATTTGTTCAGTTACTACTCCGAAGTGTGTGACAACAAAAAACGTTCAGTCACGACTCTAAAGGGTGTGACCACGAAAAACGTTCAGTCACAACTCTAAACGGTCTGACCACGAAAAACGTTCAGTCACGACTCTAAACGGTCTGACCACGAAAAACATTCAGCCACGACTCTAAAGGGGGTGACCACGAAAAACGTTCAGTCACGACTCTAAAGGGTGTGACCACGAAAAACGTTCAGTCACAACTCTAAAGGGTGTGACCACAAAAAACGTTCTGTCGCGACTCTAAAGGGTGTGACCACGAAAAACGTTAAGTCACGACTATAATTGGGTGTGACCACGAAAAAACGTTCAGTCACGACTCTAAAGGGTGTGACCACAGAAAACGTTCAGTCACGACTCTAAAGGGTGTGACCACGGAAAAATGTTCAGTCACAACTCTACAGGGCGTATCTAGATCAAGAGGCGTAGTCAATTCCAAGGAGTGTTCAATTGTTCTAACGTTTTGAAAACGTTTAAGAACTTGAAGCGATAGCCCGCCCTCTAGCGCTGAAAAACAACCCACATCCTGTAGGTGGCGCCGGGAGGTAAATTAAAGTTGTAAGTGTCAACCATTGCGTGGGTTCCCAGTGGTCACAGGTCATATGTAAACTCAGGGGGGTGTGCGCAGGTCACAGGTTAAGTGTAAACTCGGGGGAGTGTGCCGAGGTCACAGGTCATATGTCAAGTCTAGTGGGTGTGCCTAGGTCACAGATTAAATATCAAGTCTAGTGGGTGAGCCCAGGTCACAGGCCAAATCCAAAGTCTAGTGGGTGTGCCCAGGTAACAGGTCAAATTCAAAGTCTAGTGGGTGTGCCCAGGTAACAGGTCAAATCCAAAGTCTAGTAGGTGTGCCAAGGTCATAGGTCAAATGTCAAGTTACGTGGGGGTATCGAGATCACAGGTCAAATGTCACGTTACGTGGGTGTGCCTAGGTCCCAGGTCAAATGTCAACTCTGGAGGGCGTGCCCGTTCATGTGATCAAGTCGGATCTAAATGCGTGTAGCGTTAGTCAACGATTTGGAAACGTTTGACACTTTAGCGAAAAACGCCCTCTAGAAACGAAAAATGTAACATAGTGACCCAACTGCCGCTAGGTGACATTAGCTTGGACAATGTGAGACACGTGTGTAATCAAGCGCCAAGTTCAACTGGTAACACACACCACTGCACAATTCTTGGTTCTGATGCCCTGCCGAAGCTTTTTTCGTGCAAATATTGTACAATAGTTAAATTAGTTCATGTTCATGTTCATGTAATCATGTTCATGTAAATGATGAACTCATAATACACACGAAGTACTATGTATATATACAGTGTCGGACAGATGTCTACGTCCACATAGTCGCGTCAATTTCATTTTCAAATTGTCACTGAACTACTGAACCTATTTTCATCATTGATATATCAAATTCTCACAAATTTAACGTAATTTCATAAAACATATGAGTTATTTCTGAAAATTCTGGGAAAACTGAGAATCATAGTGCAGAGCGAGAGAGGATGAAATTTGAGCGGACAAAAGTCTACGTCCACTTCACTTTAATTGTCAACAGCAAAAATCTCTCCAATTTATAAAATCAGGTAACTTAATAAATCTATCAATAACATATGCCGCATTAATTTTTAAATAATTTTCTTCCAGAAAAATATGATGGCGTCGACACGCAAGGAAATTCCTATCGCTATTCGAGATCTTGTCATTCAGGACTGGAAGGGTGGACAAAAAGGGGGGCTGTCGCAGAGACAAATAGGGACCAAGTATAAATTAGCAAGGACAACCATCCAGACAATCATTAAGAACTTTAGAGCTAATGGTTCAGTCCAAAACAAGGTCAGAAGTGGTCGAAAACCGATTTTGGCTCACCGAGAAGTACGCCACGTGCTCAACAAAGTCAACGTTACACCCTCACTTAGTGCTCCAAAGCTATCTACCGAGATCAAGGAGATGTTCGACAAACAAGTTAGTCCTAGGACCATCCAAAGAACACTCAACAAGGGAAATTTGAAATCCCACAGAGCAGTCCGGAAGCCTCTTATTGTACCGAGGAATGCAACCAAACGAGTGAAGTTTGCCAGAGACCACATTTCCAAGCCACAAACATTCTGGGACAGTATTTTATGGACTGACGAGTCAAAGTTCAATGTCTTTGGGTCAGATGGGCGTCGTAGAGTGTGGAGATATCCAAAAGAAGCATTGAATCCAAAAAATCTCAACCCCACAGTTAAGCACGGCGGCGGGTCGGTAATGGTGTGGGGATGCATGGCTTCAAGTGGGGCAGGAAAAATGGAATTTGTTGACGGAATTATGGACCAATACAAGTACCAGGGAATACTTGACGGCAATATCCAGGAATCTGTTCGAAAACTTGGACTTGGACGACGATTTGTCTTCCAACAAGACAACGATCCGAAACACTGCCAAGTCCACCATGGAATACTTCAAGAAAAAAAAATTTCGAAGCTAGAATGGCCTCCCCAATCTCCAGACTTGAATCCCATTGAGCATCTGTGGGACCACATTGAAAGAGAAATAAGAAAACAATCTTTTTCAGGAATTCCGGGCCTTAAATCCAGAATTCGTGAAGTTTGGGAAACCATTTCTGAAGATGTGACCAAGAATTTGGTAAACTCTATGACTCCACGCCTTGAAGCCGTCCTTAAAGCGAACGGAGGCCCAACCAAATATTAAAAATTAATTGTTATAACATTCCTTATAAATTACAGTTTTTTTTGTATGTTTTCTCTGACTGGACGTTGACTTTTGTCCATCCAATTGTTTTCATTTTGAATTAAAATACATCTCTGGCCTAAAATAAATTTTTTTGCGGAAAACTAATAATGTGCTATGAAATTACGTTAAATTTGTGAGAATTTGATATATCAATGATGAAAATTGGTTCAGTAGTTCAGTGACAATTTGAAAATGAAATTGACGCGACTATGTGGACGTAGACATCTGTCCGACACTGTAGATATCATAAATGTGCATAGCACCTGTAGATCCTGCAATAATTTTCCTGAAAATGGCTCCATCAACCAACTTTCTCCCATTAACGGGATACGGGTGCGACGACTTTCCATCTCCGGGGACTGGGGTCACCATGTATGGCTTCCCTGCAAGTTTAGATAAATTCTGTTATAAATATTTTTTCCAGCTTTTTAAATCTGTACTTAATAGTTTATTTACACCTTGTGACACCACGTTCCCCACATCATCCCGAACTTCAACTTCATCCAATAGAAACCAAGCTAACGGGATTCCAGATACTGTCACCCATCTCGCCGTCACATTCTCAAAGCGTAAAGAAAGCAGATATCTGTCATCGTTATTATTATCCTTATCAATCTTGGTTATTTCCACAGGGTCAGAAGATGCCGTTGGAGGGCAGCCTAATTCCATCGTCCCCTTCACCCTTGGGGGACAACTCGTTGATACAAACGCACCCAATCTAGTCGGAAATCGTACACCCGCAATTAGAGTTGCCGGTGAGATGAGTTCATCTCATCCCATCTCATGTGAAGATGAGTTTGAGATGAGATGAGATGGCCGCTAAATGAGATGAGAACTCACATGAGACGGGTAAAGTGAGATGAGATGAGATGAGACGAGCTCATGAGATATGAGATGAGTTAAGTAAGACGAGATCAGCTCATTAATAAATATTAATCAGCATTCAATTTGCGAACTTTTATGGTGTAACCTAGACAAAACTCATTGTTGTCGACTTTGGGGGTGTACCCAAGTCAAAATTCAATTTTGGAAATATTGGGGGTGTAAACAACTAAAAATTCATTTTTGGGAACATTGGGGGTGTAACCAAGTAAAAATTCATTTTTGGGAACATTGGGGGTGTAACCAAGTAAAAATTCATTTTTGGGAACATTGGGGGTGTAACCAAGTAAAAATTCATTTTTGGGAACATTGGGGGTGTAACCAAGTAAAAATTCATTTTTGGAAACATTGGGGCTGTAACAAAGTCAAAATCCATTTTGGGAACATTGGGGGTGTAACCAAGTCAAAATTCATTTTTGGAAACTATCGAGGTTGATGTAAGTCAGAATTATTTTTGGGAAATTGTGGGGTGTATGTAACTAGGTTAAAAGTCAACCATAGAAACTTTGGGGTGTATTTTGTGACCAAATCAAAATTCATATTATAATATCGAAATTTCGATATTGAAATATCGAGATTATATGCCCTTGTCACTACATCATTATTTTTCTATAGGAATTTTAGGCAAAATATTGCGTACGAAGCGCTAAATGAGCCATCTCATCTCATCTCATCTGAGCATGAGATGAGATGAGATGAGACGAGCCAGGGTTTTGACGAACTCATTTAGTTCTCAACTCATCTCACCAGGTAATGAGATGGGGTGAGATGAGCTCTGTCTCACTTCATCTCATCTCACCGGCAACCCTACCCGCAATCTCACTAAAATGGGTCCATATTCTAACGTCTGAGATATGGGTAACAATTTGACCCAGGTCAATCGTGATGCCAAAAGCCCCTTCTGACGGTAGGTTCCACCCCATTACTCCATCCCAGTACCATGTTCCTCCCTCTGCCACTTTCCCATCCGTCAACTTTCCAGGGACGTACTGCTCATGGGTGGGCGCACTATCCGGGTACGGGCCCTCAACCACGGATGCACTAGATGTGGAGGCATCTTCAAATAGTGGATTTGCTAAGTAGGGAGGCTCATATTTTGCCGCTATCATCTGCATAATCGATGGCCACGGAGTAGTTGATGTTTCTCTGTGAAGCTCAATCACCAAATTCATCCCAACCGTTATATTCAAGTTTGCCGTTGGGGTAACAACCGAACTGTATATTGGGTCGACAATATCTGGTCAGGAACGTTGAGAAAAGGCCGAAAATCCTGGCACTCTCACTACCAATTTTCCCTTCCAGTATGCACCACAATCGCCGAAATCAACCCTGATTGACGTGATTCCTTCCTAACCGGGTGGAACTATCCAACTCTTCCTTCGTACGAGGGTGGAAACTTGTGCGTAATCGGATGGTCCGAAGGGAATCCCTAATTCCAAGTTGGGGACCCACCCAAACCCAACCAACCAACCCACCCAAATAGTTTGTCAGGTCGGTGTAAGCCTTCCACTTGTCGCCAGCTTGTTGCGACCCGGCGCCCATTCCATCAAAAAAGTCTGGCCCTACGAAAAATACTTGCGGAAAGAGGGCGGCCCCTGATGACTGGGCAATGGCAAGGTACCGATGTGCAATCCAATTTTCCAGCGGGTATTGCCCCCCTCCGCGCAACTCGTACTCGAACGACTGGTTGACTGCGGCAGACTTTAGACCAATTGCGTATAGTCTGTCCCCAGAGGCGGTACCTGATTTTGGATAGATAAAAATGAGTTAAGATAATAATGAAAGAGGCAACACACATCACTGCTTGTAAGATCCGTAATCACGTAAACTTACAAAATTTATAAAAATTCGAAGCTAAATTTTAACGAATTTAGGAAAGGTGACCAAGGTACATTTTTACGCACCTCAAGCAGTTTCGAGAGTTACTTAAGGCGTTAGTGACGCGAATACCCCAAGAATTAACAGAAAACCAACCAACCGCTATCAATCGACGAGCCAAACGAGTAATTCGGCTGCACCACTAAAACGTCAAATCTAAACACGTCCTTTCCATCCCATGCGTGAGGCGCATAATAATACGGAACCCACACGGATTGCATCCCCATTTCATGAACTTTCTGATTAAAATGCGTCACAATTTCAGCATCTCCATACGCATCTATGATATCTTCACGGTGATAGTAACGTTTTTTAATTCCCCACTTTGTCTTAACCCGTTGATTTTACGGATGTACCACTCCACAAGATTTTTGAGGTCGAGAGGATTCCTTAAGTGGTATGATTGGCCCTCAACAGAAACTGTGCGATCCTACATAAATACATACAAAACATAATTAACACTATTTAACGCTAATCGCTCAAATTGTAAAAATCAGCACATTCTAAATAATGTCTCGCTTCTGGAATCTATTTTAAAATTATGTAGGACTAATTTACAGTAAGTCGATTGGAGAATAGCGGTGACATCTTGTAATTAAGGTAAGTCAATTTTTCTGAAAGTGTTTTAAACTTGAGATCTCCCCGTTCAAAAATTGTCAAAATCTGGAGTGTTTATATATTTTTAGAAAATTGGCAACGAGCTGCTTTAGAAATTTGTAGTCCAGAATTTTTAATTAAATTCCCAGACCCGAGAAATAATTGGAAATATGCTGATATTAACGATTTTCCTGATGAGTCCTACCATAAGGAAGTTAAATATTTAAGAAAAAAGATAACTTGCTTGTCCATCAATATACGGCATTGCCAGAGATAGTTGGAAAAGTTGTCCCCCATTTCTTGGAAAAGTGACAAGCAATTCTCCAATCGCTTTGTCCACCTGTCTAACATCAGATGATAGATTGTCCAACAGACTGACCAGATCCGGTCCATCCAGGCCACCGTACGCTATGTCCTTTCCATTGATTTTGAACGTGGTGAGAATAGCGTGATCAAAAAGCCATTGCCCAACAAATTTCCCGTCTTCACCGACACGCATAAAGTGTCGTTTCCAACTTTCAACATTTCTGGTTTCCTGATGGTAAATTAACGCACTTTTATTCCATCCCACAGCGGAAGGTATGAACAAGCAGAAGAGTGGCCAGATAACTGGACACGATTAGAAATTTCATAATTTTTGTGCATATTTATGATTTCTAAAAAAAATTGCTATTAGTGCTCTGCATGAATCCGGATTTGGGCGAGTGAGACTCACTCGAATCCCAATTTGGCCCGATTTGAATCCCAAACTGCAGGATTCAGGGGCTCGGGCTTTAGACGGACAAATCCTCAAAAGCAAGGAGTCATAAGTCCCGGATTCGGGATTCGGAGGTCGGAGGCGAATTGGACTCGGATTCATGCGGAGCACTAATTTCCATTACAAATATTTACCAAAAATCAAGGATTTCTTCATTATGGCCACAAATTTATTTGGATAGAAATATGTGCATTCGCCAACTTAGAAATGAAATGCGCAAGTAAAATCAACTTATATATTTTGTAAAATAAAAATTTTGCCAGATGTTTTGACATATGTAAATTGACGTGCAGAAGTAATTGCTTGCTTGCATAAGTTGCTTACATAATTTGTTTACGTAATATTTCATGTTCCACCAGTAAACACATATTGTAATCCATCACAGATCCATTTGGGTCCATCGATGGTACTCGAAATTAAATTAAATTGGTTCATGGAACGCTCATTTCCGATCTGAAGTACATATCTATGTTGATAGGTATTTGTGACGGTATGTATTTCACGATAGGTATATATCGTAGGTAGCGATACTGCATGAAAATTGGAAAACAAAGCAATACTTAAATATCGTAAAACATAAATTCGCACGGCTTCTTAGGCAGATTAACAACAGTGATTTACATAGATGCGTAAATTATGCAAATGACCGATCCCGGTTGACGGATTAAACATACATACATGAAACAAATAATTATAATCACTAATTTTTTATAATTTGTGGAAATCATGAATATTAGTTGTTTGCCTTTTGCAAAATTAATTATTCCAAATTTGAGTCAAATTATATAATGATTTATTTTGTCAGCGTATGATTTTTACAACGTGTAACATAATTTTGCCTCAGTAATTTGCTTTTATTTTTTAGTTTGTTGCATATTTTTTAGCTCGCAGTTTGGGAGACATGGATATTGATCTGGACCGACGCAGATTTTGAGCTTGGGGTTGAAGATGAGCCGCTGGGTGGGGCTTTTCAGGGGACACTCGCGCGGGAATGGCCTTCCATTTGAGCACTTGTAGTAATTGGAGCAGTTGTATGGGTCTGGGATCAAGTCGTGGTCTCGAAGACATTGGACATCGCAGGGCGATGATGATGCCGGATGTGACGCGGAAAACCCAGGCCCCGGGGAGGACGATGTTCGTATCGGTGGCGACCTCAAAGGCGTCAGCGGTGCAAGATTTGCGAAGCTGGTAGCGTGTCTTGCCATCCGCAGCGTCAAATCCGGCGAAGGCGTGATGGTTTCCTCCACTTCCTAAATATTTAGATAAGGAGCGAGGATAATTTTGCCGAACTTTGTAAAGTGACAAATTTTGAAGAGATTTATAAATAGAATGTGTTTTTGGTATTTCAAATTGTGAAGTATGTAAATTTTGAAATTTGGAACTGGGTTAAAAAATTTTATATATTTTATTTTGGCAAAGCTTTAATTGCATAAAAGTTGTACTTTTAGTAATGTTATGGTTATGAAATATTTACCACTCATTGTCAGAAACAAACTACTGCCAATCCGGTAGGAAGTTAATATGTACCAAATCAATACCAGAACGTATTTTACATATATGCCAATCTACCCGATTTTTAGCAGTAAAAATTTGATTTTTAATAAAACTGCGTTTCTATTTCAATGAAAATTTTTGCGAAACTCGTAACTTTTTATCACCCATACCCATGCATGAGTCACCCCCATCGCCTAATGGTGTAGGTGCGTCGGTCCACATGATTCTACCGTATAGGAACACGATATACGACTCTTTCGCCAGTTTCGCCCCTTGTGCGAGTACGGTTTGGAACGTATTTCGCAGCGCTATCCCTGGACAGGACCCGTACGGATTTGCTGCGCCAAAAAACGGGACGTTGTTCGTGGTCATGACGAATGCCCACTTCAAGTCGGTGGACGATCCTGGGAAGGCTAGTCGACGGCTTGTCGATACGTGATCTCTCCACCCGTCGTGGTATCTGCATCGGCCCAAAATGGAGTTATCACTTGGACAGAGACGCCACCGCATTGGGGGATGTAGTCTGCCATACCTTGAATTAAGAGATACAAAATTATGAAATTGTACATAAAAAATATTTACGGGAAATTGACAAGGGGATCTTTTTCCAAGGTATACCGGGATTGTCTGGTAAGTAATGTAAAAAAAATCAAGCCAAAAATTAGGAATCACCCCGACGAACCAAAGTCTGCAAATATTGTAGTAAATTTGTACTTCTAGATTAATGCATATTTTCCGTTAAAATGGCAAGGCGACTCGTAATAATTTTGTACAAGTCGCATGTACAAAATTCATACCAAAAAATTGTCAATACAAGTTTACTTGTACAAAATATGTACAAAATTATCACAAACAAATCTGTACAGATTTTCTAGAAATTTGGTGAAAATTAATATGCATTAATATATTGCGAATTTTTGTGCGAATTTAATGCTGATTTTGTGTTAATGATACGCATGAAATTAATGCCAATTTACTTATACATAATTGCTACATATTACAGTACATAAACAATTGTTTATTAATTGCTATACATATGTCGTGCAAATCATACGCACTAAATACATACATATTATGCATATACATTTACACACACATAGTATACATACAATATGACAATTTGTTATAAAAATTTATCCAACTGGTTTATTTTTTAGCGTTGTAGTTAAATAACAATTCATTCTCCACTTTCAGTAGAGATTCAATTTTCGGGTCCGGTTCTAATTGAAAGAGTTGAACTTGTTGGGACTTGCTAATGTCTTCCACCGTTGATACGCAGGCTCCGAGGAAGATCTCGTTTGCTATTTTTATAAAAATTTTAATTATTGAATCATGATTGTCAACTATACTCTGCAATTTCGTTTCTAGTTATGATGTTATCTTAATATGGGTAATTAATGTCGCAATTATTATTATTTTACTTACTTTCACAATGCAAAGAATTAACAGGTGCGTCAAGAATATTGCTCCCCACAGGTTCTGAAACTGTATCTTGCTCGGGTACTTTGAGCCGCCGCCGGGGTTGATCACTTGATGTTCACTTGAGTCGATTGGTTTATTTGTGATATATTTTTTCAACTTCCTTATCGCCTTCTCGTACGAATCTACAGTTTAAACGGCACATTTGCACATAAGAATTTGATCATGACCGTCAGAGAAAGTAATAGCAAATACTTACCGTAAGTTCCGACATATAATATGTCGTAATTAGTCCAGTCTTTATCTGGGAGAGTACACGGGTCGCTTTGAATACTGGAAAATCCCTTTGGAATTGGATTTGGGAATTTGCACTTAGCTCGATCCGTGGAAATCCATGTGGATGGCACTACCTCCACCCCCTTATCAACTTCAAACTCGAACACAAACTTTTTCAAGATTTTATTTGTTTGACTAACTTTAGTTGTAAATAATTAAAATGACGAGGAAGTAATGGCGTGGCTAACAGAACAACTGAATGATAGAAAACTTTACTGCCACAACTGACTCCTAGAGAGCATTGAATCGAGAAATAAATAATACAAATTTTGTAGTAAAGTGCTACAAAAATTTCGGCACAACTTTTGTGTGGAAATAGTAGCACCTCTTTTATGCATTTGGGTTTGTACAATTTTCCGGGTACGAATTGTGTAAGAATTTAGTGCGAGAAATCTCATGAGAATGTTGTACCCAGAAATACGCAATGAATTTTCACCAATTTCTTTGTAATTATTTTGTACTAAATCTTTTGTGATAATTTAGTGGATTTCGTGTACAAGTTTGTTAACAGCAAACATATTGATATCAGTTTTACATGAATATTGTACAAAATAATAATTACATTTTTTATGCAAAGAAATTGCATTAATTTGCATTGGGATTTGCAGTAAATACGCATTGAGGCTCGTTGGGACGTGACACTTATCTTTTCCTTGAATGGTCCCTTTGAAGAAAAATATTGGCGGCAAAGTTCAACTTTTGAGTCAATTTTCTCTTGCTTTTTCCTCCACGGGATGAAAACCAAGGCGGACGTGTGAACTTTACCCTGCAATATTTTTTCTTGAAAGAGTCATTCAATGGAAAGATAAGTGCTGCTTGATGATTGGTAATTTTTCACTTGACTTTTTGATAAAATTGTTAAGCAATCGCTTGAAAAAAGGTTCCATTGGGGGAGTAAAAATATATTCATACTTAAATTATTTTTAGTAAATTAAATTTAAAAAAATGACAAAATATTTTCGTTAGCATGATTTGTCGTGTAAATTTTAAAAGAATTGAGAACCTTTTTCAAAAGGGATTCTTCCATTGGTGTTAACAAAGAGCTGGCCGTAGGTCGAATTTGCGAAGATGAAGGGATCACGGAATAGTGTGACGGGGGCAAAGGCGTCGTCCGATGGGGGCAGGGTGACATCGCCATTTTCACTACCGAATGGCATCATGTCAAATAATGGCAGGTCGGACAAGCCATTTGGCTGTGGATCCGGAACGATCCAATTGTTCGCATTATGGTCTCCTTTCTCCCCCTTTTCAGCGTCGACGTCGTCAAAAAACGTAACTGCTCGATAACATTTAATCCAAAAAATTTTTATTTTCATACCGATCAAAAAACCCCCTACAAAAAACTTGTTGTAAATTTATGGTAATTGTGCTAGGCATGAAAACAACAAGGGCACCTGCTGGTGACAATTTGTTATCACTTATTGCGAATTTGCTATCCGGCGGTGACAATTTTTCATCAGTACGGTATATATTTACATTTATCCATTGTCACCGTTGTTATGCCAAATTTTTTGGAGTATATGAGCATTTAAAAAATTAGTAATTAAAAATATAGAGGGTGTCCAGAAAGTTTCTCCCTATGGATTTTTCGCCCGTTTTTTGCTGTTAGTTTTTGCATCTTTGAGTTTTGTCGTGCAATTATTTTTCCAATACGATACCAAAGGTAAAGCCTTTTCCCATGTACAAGGAAATGTGTATCCTAGCAGTATCCTATGCAGAGGATGGATTTAAGTGAAAATCCGAAAATTTGAAAGATGTTAAGATAGCGGAGAGATAAAAAACATTTTAAACGCAAACGCAGTTCAGATAGTTCGAGGACACTCCCACCATCAAAAAAATGCTAACTTACATAAATAATTTTAAGGAAATCGCAAAGTTTTGGTATGAAATCTGAACGAGCCTAAATCTCGCAACGCTACACTTTCATAAGAATGA